GAGAAAGCAAGGGTATGAAGGTAAAGTATAATACTTGGAGAAGGTCTACAAGAAGAGTCCAAGAGAAGCCAAGACATAGGGGCAAAACCCTAGAGACTTACATCATCAGAAGAAGAAGACAAGGTTAAGAGACAATGCCAAGGGACAAAGCCAGGAATTAACATAGTCTAAGCAAGCAAAGGGTGACGCCCTCAAATCACAATCCACCCCCTGCCTCTCTCCAAATTGGCCTACCCTAAGGATGGGATTGGGCTTGGCCCAAAATCACCTTAAACAGTCTATTTAAGGTGACGCCTTTGCATCCTCCCCTAAAAATGTCAGAGGGCCACCCCGGTGTTTAATCGCTCTCACTATCTTATTTGGGGCTATTTTTATTTTCTTCATTATTTATCTTCATTTATGATTTTTTAGTTTTAGTTTTTTCTTGTATTTGTATTTTTCATTTTTACTTTTATCTTTCTATTTTTTGTACCCTTCTCCGAAGAGTATACTTGTTTGACGACGCCACACTACTTGTGCCATCGCCAAAAGGGGCAATTGATAGGGTATATTAGTAACCCCCAAGGCAAAGCTCTAGGAGATGGCATAAAGTAGGAAAGAAGACAAAAGAGCAAAAAAGACAAGGCTGGGAGACAAGAGACAAGGTCAGGCACCTGACATCAGCAAGGACAACGGACAAGGGGACACCCTCTGTCAAAAAGTACCATGTACAGTGTCAGAAGGTCTGAGGCGCCCGACCACAGCATTTATGGCTTGGCAGGCGCCCAGACCACTACCTAACCCTCAAACGTGTATAAATAGGAGTTCTCTCCTCATAAATGGCAATCTATCTACTCTTACTCTAACTTCTCTCTACTTTCTCTCTCTATATACTTCTTCTCTTTTTCTACTTCGGACGAGGCGGGGCGCCTACCCCCTCAAGGTCATGGCTGACACCCCAAACCCCTTGGACCCGAGCGACCCCCAGTCGATTGGGCTCAAACAAACAGTATTGCAAGCATCCCATGCACTATACCCATTTGGATCTATCCTAGGATCTGGGATTTGAACAGAACCATCGATGAACCCAAGCTTGTACTTGGTTTTGGGAGCTATGCGAATAGATCTAGCCCACATTTGGTAGTTACTACCATCTAGCACTTTAGACACAATAGATTGAGAAAGATTCTCAATAGGGTTTTGATAGAAGAGCTACCGAACTGGAAATCTGGAATAGGTTGAGCTACTTCTGTGGCTGCTGCATTTGTAGTTGATTGAGCAGCTGACCCAGACGTGGGTTGTTCTTCACTCCCACTCATTGTGACGTAGAACTGCTGTTCCGACCTGAATCAGGCTGCCTGAATAGTGCCGTGCTCTGATACCATAAGAGAAGATGAAGAAGGCCTGAGATTTAGGGTGGAGGAGCAGTAGAAAACCTATTGTCCTCTCTTTAGGGATTTTATATATATAGTGGTTCTCAACGGCTAATACAAAGTAATAATCGTTAATTGAAATCTATTCACCCAAGCCCGACACGTGGCTGGATTGGACTCGTTATTAACAGACTAATCCATTCAGTTCAAGTTGTACAAGTTGTACCAGAACATAAAGGTACAACTTAGTTGGTTCCGTTAAAAGTACAACTTCAATTTGGACCATAACAACAAAAACTAAAAAGCACCAATGCTTAAAAATATTGTAAAATTTCTCAACAATTTAATAGTCAAACTGTTAATTTTCCATCTTGTCAATCGTCGTTAGTTGACTCTAACGTGGAAAATTAATAATGATGTGACAAAAATCAATGCCACATGGATATATTTAATTTTAATTAATTAAAAAATAAAACAAAAATTTGCGGAACCCATCCCTGAAATCAGGGTTGCCGATCTATCTCTCGTCCTCTATTTTCATCAAACCCAAAAATCGACGATTTGTCTCCCTCCCCCTCGTTCCTCTCTTTCCATATTCGTAGGCGCCATGACTGTGAACGAGAGAGCAGAGGGCTACAACAGCAAGCGTGCGGCGGCCGATTTAAGCTTAGAATAGATTAGGGTTTCGTTTTCGTCTTAAAAGACGATTATATACCTAACATTTTAAAACGACTAAAATACCCATAGGGTTTCTCGCAAATACCACACCCATGCCACTGTGTTTTTTGCAAAAGTTATAAAATTACCCCTTGTTATTGGGAATTAAAACGGAAAAAAAATGAAAAGAGGAGTTCGCCGAGTTTCAAACTCGTGCCACTCGGGCCAAACATGCTAAGTGAGCATGGTTGAACCAGTTGGGCTGCCGACCCATCATGTAGAAACTTATGTACTCTGTTGATTTTTGTACTTTAATATTCTTAATGCAAAATTTTAAATCTCGAAGTTAGGTCAATTCAATTCTTTTCATATATGTAAAATATTTTTGCATATTTCAAAACTAAACAAAATCATTTGTTTCATAACCATGATTAGTGAAACGTGGTTGTAACTAAAACATTAAAGTTTTAAACGAACTACGTGGACTTTGTTCCCATTTTACAGGTACGTAGGCAACCAATAAAGTTAGTGTCAAATAAACTAACAAATTATATCTTTAAAATGAACGCCAATAGGCGTATAACTAAATTACAACTAATACGATTTAAATCCTTTAGTGGTCTAGTAGGGCCTAATTAATTTATTTTTAAAATATGCATCAGTGGACGTTTAATTAAACAATAACTAATGAATTAGAAATACGTTAATAGTCCAGTGGGACCCAAAATACATAATCACTAAAACACACCCAATTCGTATAAAACCTATGAACTTAAGTAGTACCGTTTTAGGGCGTTGTGGGGTGTTGCTTAACTTCCCCACACGTAACCATACTCCCGAACCCATATCTGTTAATCGCAGAGCATGTCTCGGTTCTGACCCTAAGGTTAGAGTCGACCTATGAGTGTTCGATTCACTCCAAGTAAGATCGATGGCGACTCCAAAAGCGAATGTGACCTGACCCGAGGGACGGTTGCGACAGTTCTATTCCAAAAAAACCATCAATCCAACATCATTTTTTGAACAATATTCAATGTGAAACCGTATTTAGTAAACATTTGATAAGAAGTCATATGTGTAATAAGATTTGGCTTAGTTTGGCCCTGTTGTAGGTTTTGCAGAAGCAGCTTCTGGCTTGAGCTTTTAGAGAAGTATTTTTCAAAAAAAGCAGTTGAGTGTTTGGTTGAAAATTTATTAAAAGTGCTATTTAATATGAGAGGTTGTGTAAAATGAATATAAAGGACTTATAATATAAACTATGAATAAAAATTATAAACAATAAAATGTAATCAAAATGGATCTTGTTAGACTTGTTTTACATTAAATAATATGATTTTATTTTTGATTTTATTTTTAAAATTATATAAATGAAATAAAATTATATTTCCTTAGATAAAATTAAAATATGGTAAGGATAATCTTGTATTTTCAAAACAGATTTTCGTAGAAGTTTCAAATTGGAGTTTTTGCTTTTATGTTATACAAAAGCGCTTTTCGGCTTTTCAAAAGCCAAACTTTTAGAGGTGTTTGGCCTTACTTAAACTTTTGAAACCGAAAAACACTTCTAAAAGCTGGCCAAAGATCGGCTTTATGAAACACAAATTTTCTCATCGAAAAACATTTAGTAAACATAATATCTTTTATAGTTTTATTCCATTATTATGTTAAAAAATAGTTTCTTTTTCGTTTTTAAGGGGTTGAATTTAATTTAATTAATAATTTATTTAATTATGCATGTGAAGTGAATCAATGCGAAGCCCCCATTAGCGCCGATCCTATGATCAATCCTTGATCAACTACACATGTGATGTTCTTCTGCACTCTAGCATCTCTCACCGTTGATTTCACGATCTGAACTAAATTCAACGACCTCAATCCAGTCGGCCGATATCACATACCGCACTAGAACACCCCCCTTTTACATTTTCTCATAAATATTCCTCACGACATGCTTACGTGCAAATGGCAGAGCATTATACCTCCCGCCTTGGTCAGCCATTCCGTTCCGCTAGATACCTGACCAAAATGGACCAACTTATTACTCGGCTTCCCAGCCGAAAATGAATCGATATTCGACCAAATCCGATTACAAACAATTTTTTTCTGATTATTACTTCACTTGATCAAATCCTTCGTATAATCCAACCGGACATCATTCATTCCTTGGTTGCACGAGTTTACGGTTTCGGCTGATTTCGAATCAATTCGGTTCATAACTGAGTCAGCTCATTTCAACTCTCAAAGGCATGGTTGTCACGCCGGCCGGCGTGCCACCGGTTGTACCGGGTTCAACCGGTACCAGTCATAAAACCGGCGTGACACCACCGGTATGACCGGCATGATCGATATACGAATCTCTAAGTAAAATGATCTTGTTTTACAGAATTTAATTGATAAAAATTATTTTATTATTTATTTTATTAGTATAAAAGTTAAATATTGATGTTATTTGTTGGATTCAAGTATAAATGTTTAGGTATTGACGTTAAATGTCATGTTTAAATATGAGTATTTATAATTTTATTTGTAATATTGACCGGCATAAACCGGCACAAACCGGTATGTGCCACCGGTTGAACCATTCCACTTGCTAAACCGGCACACTGGCATAAACCGGTTTGACAACCTTGCTCAAAGGTGAATTGTTTTTCCCAATTACAATAATAATTCTGATTTGAATATTTAAATATTTTTGTCTGGTTCCTTACTCTTCTGTTATCTCTTCTGGAGTCTCTCCAGCTCTCGCACACACCTTCCTACTGTCTCGCCACCGACTGCCACGAATCTCAATCGCCCCACGATTTTCCATTTATTTACAATCCCGCCACGAATCTCATTCCTTTCCTCCATTTCTCTCTCAGCTCCGGCGCCCGGCAGGCAGCGCCATTATCATCGCCACGCGCTTTCCCGTCCCCGCGGTCTTCATTTTTCCGGTGAGTCGCCCGGCAATTTCTTCCTCCGGCTGGTGTGGGGACTCGTGAACGAGTCAATATGCTGGAGCGGTGCCTCGGCCAGCAGCGAGTCCGCCGGATCCAACGCGCGGTCCGCCATGCCAAAGTCACATTCCTCTGCCTCTTCATGACCGTCGTCGTCATGCGCGGGATGCTCGGCGCCGGGAAGTTCGGGACTCCGGCTCAGGACCTCGACGATCTGACGACTCACTTCTACGCCTCCAGGAAGCACGCCGAGCCCCACCGCGTGCTTGTCGAGGCGCAGCCGGAGAACGAGAACGAGAACCAGAGCAACGACCCGAAGAACTACGCGACGTTCGATTTCAACAAGATCTTGAAGGACGAAGGGGGCGAGGACGAGAAGCCCGATCCGAACAAGCCGTACACGTTGGGGCCGAAGATTTCCGATTGGGACGAGCAGCGAGGCGAGTGGCTGAAGAGAAACCCTAATTTCCCCAATTTCATCCGCGAGAACAAGCCGCGGGTGCTCCTGGTGACCGGATCTTCCCCCAAGCCCTGCGAGAATCCCGTCGGCGACCATTATCTGCTGAAATCGATTAAGAACAAGATCGATTACTGCCGGCTCCACGGGATCGAGATCTTCTACAACATGGCCTTGCTCGATGCCGAAATGGCCGGGTTTTGGGCCAAGCTGCCGTTGATTAGGAAGCTGCTGCTGTCGCATCCGGAGGTCGAGTTCCTATGGTGGATGGACAGTGATGCGATGTTCACCGACATGGCTTTCGAGCTGCCGTGGGAGAGGTATAAGGATGTGAATCTGGTGATGCACGGTTGGAACGAGATGGTTTACGATCAGAAGAACTGGATTGGGCTGAACACAGGTAGCTTTCTGCTGAGAAATAACCAATGGGCGTTGGATCTTCTCGACGCCTGGGCGCCGATGGGGCCGAAGGGAAAGATTAGGGACGAAGCTGGGAAAATCCTTACACGGGAGCTGAAAGGAAGACCTGTTTTCGAAGCCGACGATCAGTCCGCCATGGTTTATCTGCTTGCTACACAGAGGGATACTTGGGGGAACAAGGTCTATCTAGAGAGTGGTTACTATTTGCACGGTTACTGGGGGATTTTGGTTGATAAGTACGAGGAAATGATTGAGAATTATCACCCGGGCTTCGGCGATCATCGATGGCCATTGGTGACTCATTTCGTGGGTTGCAAGCCTTGTGGGAAGTTCGGCGACTACCCGGTGGAGAAATGCTTGAAGCAAATGGATCGTGCTTTCAACTTCGGCGACAATCAGGTTCTGCAGATATATGGGTTCACCCACAAATCCCTGGCCAGTAGGAGAGTGAAACGAGTTCGTAACGAGACGGGCAATCCTCTGGAAGCGAAGGACGATCTCGGGTTGATGCACCCTGCTTTCAAAGCTGTGAAGGTATCAACATCTTCTTGAGATGAAGAAAAAAGGGGGAGGTCTTCTTTTTTGCTTAGGTAATGTAATGAATGTATTGCAGACTCGATGGTTTTTTTTTTTTTTGCTTCTAATTTATTCAAACTGATACAGGATGATTCTACAATGTAATTGCTTCTGTTTATTCAGCTGAAGGTGGTGGTGGGATGGCAAGGCAACATATCAAAATTTTATTGTATTCCCTTGTTTACACCTTTTGTGATTCTTGCGTTGTTAATTTAGTTCCATATGTTTTCTTTTGCCTTTCTCAAGGGGATGTACCAAATTTTTGGAAAGAAAAACAGTGAGGGAAAAAGTGAAAAGAACAGGGCTCTTTGTCAATCTGACTGTTGGTTCCTCTCTGGTGTGTTGGAATGTAGCTCTAGACCTGCATATGGCGTAAAAAAATGTTTGCTTTACCTTCTGTAGCCATTAGATCAGATTATGGCTTGGCCTAGAGGAGCTAGATCTATTGTTTTGTGTGCTGCAGATATGCAACTATGTTGTTAGGCCGAATGTTGAATAAGAGTGGTACATTAGAGTATGGGATAGGGATTCGGTGTTCGGGTTGTTAGGTCCAGTCAGTTATTGAATCGCAATTCTTGTTGTTTGAGTTAGTTTGGGAAGGATCATCTCGTCGAAGGCCAGTCAGTCTCTTCTGAATGCGTGCTGCTTCTAAGATCGATGTAACTGGAGTTTGTTTTTGTGTGAACTGGAGCTTGTTAGTAATGGGAGTATGGAGCACTGGTCTTCGAACAGTCTTTGTAAGGTACAAGTCTATGAGCTGAGGTAGCTGGAAATTTTCTCCCCGGTCATGGCTGCAGCATTTCAAGTTCGCTTCTGTAGCTCCATCCGAGATTCGTCGTTGTTGTCGTCATCATCATCATCATCATCTTGGTGTTGGTTGAACTTCCATACGACCGGGAGCAAGCAGATGTACAAGATCTGATGGAAGAGTTGTTGATTAGCTTGTTCTGCTCTTCATATTTGCGGGTAAGGCGGTTTATGCATGCTGTTCTAAGCTGGAAATGTTGCTGACCAACTGCCAGATTCTGGACCGAAAACTGAAACTGATCAGTCCCTTGAGCTACACTCCTCTAGCTCAGCTGTTAAAAAGTAATCTAGATGTACGTTATTGTTCAAATAGCAGCTGGTTTCTGAACATCAGGCTGTGTTCTTGGATGTTTATCGTCTATATAAACCCATCACATCTCAATTCTCAACCGCGTCGAACATTTCCTCTCAAATTTCTTCCCAAGGTCGAGACATCTGATCATGAGGAAGGTGGCTGTGGCACACTAGTCATCCTGCTCATGATCAAGGCCACCATGAGAAGTAGTAGTAAACAAGTCCGCCGCTCAGCCTCGACTAACGATGAGAGTGGCGACTGTTGCCAGAGCAGCTCGACAGGCGATGGTGTTGTTATAAGCGTGAAAGTTGTAATGCAACGTGATGAGTATAAACATATTATTACTATTATTAGTTATTATCATATGTTTTGGGGAGTCGGCTACTGTAGCCAACTAGGGAAACTCATTAGTATTATCATAGGTTTAAGATATAATTATAGTAATGTTAGTGTTGGGTTAGGATTCGTGGGGGGTGGGTGGAGTGGCGGCCAAGCTAGTGGCCGAATAGGGCTAGGTTCGTATTAGGTTTTCTCATGCTTTCTTATAAATATGTACTTTGTGGTTCAGTCTTGAGAAGTTAATGAAGAAGAAAACCCCTAATTTAGTTGTTTTAGTTTATTTATCGTTTTTGTGCTGCGATGCTTGATCCGTCAATGCATCAATTGGTATCAGAGCCCGGTTCGAGAGAACCGAGCTCGCTGCTGCAGCTCCCAGGGCAGATATCGTCAACGTTCGACCACCAACGTTGGGAAGAGGTCCCGCGAGCAACTACGACACCGCCAAAGTTCCTAGGCCCGACGACAGGAAACGTCCACCAGGGATTGCTGGAGGTCACGACCTCACCTGCTGCTGCCGCCGCCGTTGCTGAACGGTGTGCAAGAAGATGCGTGCCACCGTTGGAACCACCCGACGAGCCGTGTGACGCAAAGATCCCACACGAACCACCGGATAAACCTCCTATGCCGATCAATGCCGAGGTCTCTTTCTCTACTCTTGCCGGAGATTGGAACTCATCAGCAACCCTCCGACTCGACACGACAATACATCGAGAACCCGTGGTCGCCCTAGTCGATGGGTTTTCGACGCACAACTTCCTAAACCCCGACGTTGCCAAGGGTTTAGCCTTGCAGGCTACACCGATTCGAACCTTCAAGGTCAAGACAGCAAACGGAGAATTCTTGGTTTGTGAACGCTGTTACGAGGCCGTTCCAATTAAAGTACAAGGTGTATGGCTTGAAGTAAATTCGTACGAGCTTCCGATTCGTGGGGTTGACCTCGTCCTTGGCGGGGAGTGGCTCAAACAAGTGGCAGTGGTAACAATGGATTGGGAAAATTCAGCCATGAGTTTTTGGTATAATGCTGAAAGGGTCACCGTGCGAGGCTTTTGCGAGGCCACCAAGAGGATTGCCGAGCTCAAGAAGCTTCAACAAGATCGTGATCGACGACGTGAAGCAGGTCCGACAACTCTTGTACTGTCGAACGGTGTTGTGGCTGGAAGCTCCGCACCGCCGCGATCGATGGCGGTCACGCCTGAAGGGGGGAGGCGCTGCTGTCGTAAGAAGAAGAAGAAGAAGAAGAGACGACGCGGAGATGCTGCCTTTGTCCTTGCTACGCATGTGTCTCCGGAGCTGGCGCGCAACATCGTGACAACGGAAAAGCTTTCGATTTCACAGCTGCCGCTAGCATCGTTGGACTTGCAGGAAATCTCGCCGGCCGCAGTCATTGCTGCAAATACTGCTGCTGCTATTGATTCGGTTCCATTTGACGAAGCGACTCAACCCAATTGGAAATACCGGAAGAGGCGGGGAGTCGTTGCGGCCGAAGAAGAAGGTGCTCTTTGGGTTGGGTGTGCGATTTGGAAGCAGGAGGGGGATGGCGACAAACCCGGCAGTATCGCGAGGGAGAAGGTCGATGAAGTCCCTGGAGTCAATGCCAACCGGCCGATGTCGATTGGTATAGGCTGCGTTGACATGGAGTTGAAGGGGGTTCCAGCTGCGGAATCATCCACTATCAAGATCGGCCGACAGTCGGTAGGTGATAGAACTCAAGACGAGTTCTATCCGCGTTTTAGGGATTAGGATCAATTAGGGATTGATCCGGGTTAAGAAAAGACTAGGGAAGTGGGTTGGGATTTGTGAGAGTGATAGGGAAGGGAATGGCGGCTGGTCGCCAGCCAAGAAGAAGAAAGAGGGAAGGGGAAAAGCTGCTGTTCGCAGCAGAGGGAAGAGAGGGAGGAGGTGGGGTCGGCAGAGGGGAGTGAGGGAGGGAGAATTAGGCTTTTCTGAATAATTCCTTCTTAACCCTAACTCTAGTTTACAATAGTTTATATAGAAAATAACTAATTTCCTACTACTACCCAATCTATCAATTATTCCCGAATAGCCCTCATAATCCGAATAATAATAAACCGACAATTAACCAAGTACTAAAATATAAGTTTCTATCATCACCGCTTCCTTCGAAAATCAACCTTGTCCCCAAGGTTGATCCTCTAGCTCACTAGGTCTCCTCTTCATCATTCCCAGCATCCTCAGCATAGTCCTCGGCGTCATCCTCCCATCGTCCCACCAGCATCATCAAGTCTTCCTTGGGGCACTGATGCCCAATGGTGAATCGGCCATCACACTTGAAGCACTTGCCTTCACGCCTCTTCTGATCAATCCCGGCTGGTGACAGCCGCGCGAAACCCTTTGGTATGGCCCGCGGCCCCATCCTGGCTACCAGAGCGGGCCCTCCACTGCCAGTGATAGCCCCGGTCGACCCTACCCCCGCCGCTCCTCCTGCGCCTCCACTACTCCCACTGCTCGACTTCGGAAACCGGCCAATGGCGCTCCTCCAACTAGCGAGCTCTTCCTCCTTATGACCTGCAAGTCGGAAAGCCGTCTTCAGGGAGTCAGGCTCAAACACCCGGACTGCCGCTGCTATCTCGGGCTTGAGACCCACCATGCACAGCCCCACCAAGGTGTCCTCTGAGACTCCCTTGCACTGGTTTCCCAACTTGAAAAACTCTGCCCGGTATTCAGCCACCGTGCCGGTCTGCTTCAGTTTTGCCAACTGCTCCGGCGCCCACCCATCTGACTTCCCAAACTGATAACGGAGCTCTTCCTGAAACATAGGCCAGGTGATCGGAGTGGCTGCAGCGGCATAGGACCGTTCCATCCACTGCCACCACTGGAGCGCATATCCCTCCAGATAAAACGACGCCAGATAGGCCTTTCTCTCCTCCGGGACCGGATGATTTCTAAACCACCTCTCTGCTGCATACAACCAAAGACCTGCATCCTCTTGCCCATTGAATTTGGGAAACTCAATGGCCGGAGGCTTAGCTCGAAAAACCACTCCATCCATTCCTTCATAATTCATGTAGCGGGACCCATACCTGTCATTTCCGGGAGTCCTCCACGGCGGCCCCAAAGAAGAACCCGGCATCCGGTTTGGATTCTCATAGCCATAGTCTCCCGGATAGTTGCCCTGCAGGTTTGGGTACCCTCCTGGCACGTGAGTTGCCCCGTACTGAACCTCCCCGCTAGCTGGTTCCCGGTAGTCCACCCTCCTGTACTGCTGGACCGTCGGGCTCGGGCGATGCCCGGTTCGACCCACTTCCGGCCGACCCAGCCCGGCCCGGTTCGGCTCCCTTCGGTTCGGTCAGCGTCGGTCCGACCGATCCCGGCTCGACCAGACCCGGTCCGCCCCCCTTCGGTCCGCCCCATGGGGCCCGCCCCTGATCGCCCGCCCGGTTCTGTGGGCCCCCTCGGCCCATCCGGCCCCCTCTGATCCATCTCCGGTTCAGCCCACTTGGCCTGTCGGTCTGTCAGACTAAGTTCGTCATACTCGGGCCCATCCTCTAGATCCAACCACCCCAATCCGTTATGGACCTTCGTGTATTGGCCCATCAGCTCCGGTCCACTGTTCGGCGGAGGCCCATCTACATCATACCCGACCATCTTGGCCTTTCCTTTCCGGGCCGCAATCTCTTGAGCCGTAGGCGTCGGTAGCAGACCCGGGCCCACGCCTAGCCCTACCTGCACTGGCCCTGTCCCCGCTCCACCTCCGCCGGTTCCCGGCCCGCCCTCGGCCGTCGCCCGCCCGACCGGCGCCGTCTCCGCCGTCTCGAGCCCCGGCGCCGCCACTCCTCCTTCGGCGGCCGTGCCGCCTCCACCTGCCGGGGCCGCCGCCGCCGAGCCCTCGCCGCCGGCTCCGCCCGCCCCGTCATCCGCCGACGAGCCCGCGCCCCCAGTGGCGCCGCCGCCGCCCCCTCCTGCTCGCCCTAAGACCTCAGCCACCATCGCCTTCAGCTCCCCAATGGCGAGCCACACCCTCTGCGACTCCGCCTCCCGGGCTCGCGCGTCCGCCTCTCGAGCTCGCGCTTCCGTCTCCCGGGCTCGTTCGCCCTTCAGTCGGGACCGGCGCTCCTGCTCCATGGCCTCCGCCATTTTGGCCATCTCGGCGCGGAGCTCTTCTCCCAGCGTCTCGTCCACCATCTCCCCATCCCGCTGAACCGGGACCTCATGACCGCCCTCACCCGCCGTCGGCAGTCCCGCCGTGGCCGCGGTCGCGGCTTGTCCTTGCGCCGCCGCCTTGGCGGCCTTCTCAGCTGCTTGCATCGATTTCGTCGACACCATCGCGTTCGTCGTTATTTGTTTGCTCCGGCACTCAAGAAAGAACCGGGCTCTGATACCAAATGATAGAACTCAAGACGAGTTCTATCCGCGTTTTAGGGATTAGGATCAATTAGGGATTGATCCGGGTTAAGAAAAGACTAGGGAAGTGGGTTGGGATTTGTGAGAGTGATAGGGAAGGGAATGGCGGCTGGTCGCCAGCCAAGAAGAAGAAAGAGGGAAGGGGAAAAGCTGCTGTTCGCAGCAGAGGGAAGAGAGGGAGGAGGTGGGGTCGGCAGAGGGGAGTGAGGGAGGGAGAATTAGGCTTTTCTGAATAATTCCTTCTTAACCCTAACTCTAGTTTACAATAGTTTATATAGAAAATAACTAATTTCCTACTACTACCCAATCTATCAATTATTCCCGAATAGCCCTCATAATCCGAATAATAATAAACCGACAATTAACCAAGTACTAAAATATAAGTTTCTATCAGTAGGGCTCGCTTTGCCGCTACGACCCACCAAGCGGTCTTCTCGAGCTTCCCAGTTGTTGCGAGGGAAGAATGGAATACTGCATGAACTGCATGCAGGGACGTGGTTGGAAGAAGACTTTCCGAGCTTCTCGTTGGCGATCGAGGAAACTGTCGATGTTGGGTTTGTACGACTGCCTCTACGAAATTGGAAATCTCGTAAAAGAGGTTGGGGTCGTGGATATTCACTCTCTTCATCATCGTCATCACACGTGGGAGCGGGTCTTTTTCATGGATTCGGGTCGAGACGGTGCTTGAACTTCGGGACGAAATTCTTCGAAGGGGAGGGGATTGATGAGTATAAACATATTATTACTATTATTAGTTATTATCATATGTTTTGGGGAGTCGGCTACTGTAGCCAACTAGGGAAACTCATTAGTATTATCATAGGTTTAAGAGATAATTATAGTAATGTTAGTGTTGGGTTAGGATTCGTGGGGGATGGGTGGAGTGGCGGCCAAGCTAGTGGCCGAATAGGGCTAGGTTCGTATTAGGTTTTCTCATGCTTTCTTATAAATATGTATTTTGTGGTTCAGTCTTGAGAAGTTAATGAAGAAGAAAACCCCTAATTTAGTTGTTTTAGTTTATTTATCGTTTTTGTGCTGCGATGCTTGATCCGTCAATGCATCACAACGCCTGGTGCCTGGCAATGGCATTCACCAAAGTTGTGACGTCGTCGAGCCATTGTCACGTTGGGGATGTGAAGGTAAGAGTCTGTTAGTTTTCATATGATTACCTGACGGACCACGTCCGGCCCATATGTTTTGCACACTTTCTGGCCCATGTTTCCGTGTGTTGGCTTCTGTTTCTGTTTTTTTTTTTAAAAAAAAAAATAATAATAATAATAATAAAATAAAAAAATAATTTTATAGATTCTGTTTTACTAAGCTTAGCACCATGACAAATGATCATCTCGTATGCGATTAAGTTGAAGTTTAATTTTTGTTCATAAGAATGGGGCTTGCCGTGTGACAAGTTGTTTACTTGTAGTATGCGGTTGTCTTGGAGAACGGATATGAACTAATCGTCACCGATTTTTTTACTTTGTAAGAAGTTAATAATATTTATCAATTGTAGTTGCTAAAGAAAGACGATATTCTATTCGTGATTTCTTTTCATTTGATGAACTCAACAACCAAACATGGAATGTATGAATAAGGATTTCTTGGTTCAACTACTCGTTTCCAAGTCTGGTTTATAACTATGTTAAACGATCGATGATGAAAGTTTTATTGATCTGGTGATCCTATTTGACTTAAAATCAATTAGTGGCGATATGCGTTATAGGTTCAACATACCGTTATGTTAACTGATCGATGAAATAATGTCTTATAAATCTTGTGATCTTAACCCTATCGAAAATGACAAGATAGCAGCAATTATATGCAAAAAATTATTTTAAACAAATACGTAATGATCTAGAATCAAACTCCATCTCCAAATAGTTACTCTAATTACACGAATTTCTTTTCTCCTAATAAGTAATCCGAATTTGACCAACAAACATCTACATGTAGTCATGTAGAGGTGGCAATTGGATCGAATTCGTGGATTCGTGGATTGGATTGATGGATTGATGGATCAAATGGATTGGATCCAATGGATTGGTGGATTAATGGATTGGATCAAATGGATTGGTGGATTGATCCATGAATCCAAATGACATTCAAGGCTTGGACAAAAATGTAAATTTTGAAAAGTTTAGGTACTAAAATGTCATAAAGAAAAATTTTAGGTACCAAAATGTAATTTTCCAATGATATGTTTCGTATAAAAATATAAATTTTAGGTACCAAAATGTAAAATATAAAAAATATAGGTACCAAATCGTAATTTGCCATTTGGATCCATGGATTGATCCATGAATCCACCAATCTAATTGGATTTGGATCAAATGGATTGGATTTAAATGAATTGGATTAAGTGGATAATTTGGTGGATGGATTGGATTGGATTCATGGATTTGGATCCTAATTGCCACCTCTATAGTCGTGTATTGATGAATGAATTTTCAAGTCTTAAATTTTATGCTTGAGAATGCAAGCATCTAGTGGTTATGTCATATGTGACCAATCAAACCTTGCTATCGTTAACGACACTTTTTAATTCAATCTTAACCCTTAAAACTTTTTAGTTTTTTACCCGTCCGGTGAAAAAGGAAATAAAACGGCTTTAATAAGAAAAGGAACTGAAAAAAAAAAGTGTAAAATGCGCAGACTTGTACTGGATTACAAGAAAAGCCAAAAGTTACAGTGAAACTGTCCCCTTTTGCTTTGGCGGCTCAGCAAAAGATTTCTCCCTCCCTCCATTTCCTTTCATTGCTCCCACACCTTCGCCTCCCCTTGCTACAGAAACCCTAGATATTCTCCACTCCTCCATATTTCCCGCTCTCGGTTCACATAGTTTTCTCGAATCTTGCGCTTCTTGATTCGATTCCTCACTCCATCTCCGACGATGGAGGTTACACTAACGAGTGCCGCCGCCGCCACCTCCTCGACCAAGCAAGTAGAACAGCAGCAGCAGCAGCAGTTCGCTTTGGCTTCCCTGACTGACCTTACCTCTTGCTGTTCTTCTTCTTGTGTAGCTTCTGCGTCGTCGACTTCTTTCCCGGCAGTTGCGACGTTTTCCGCCGATGACGGAGTCGCCGAGCTGCGATTCCGCCGAGAGTCCGATTCGGACGGCGGCGTTGTCAATGTTGATCTAACGACCGCTCAGGTCAGTCTTTTCTTGCCTCTGCCGCAGGGGAATGGTAGAATGTAGTTCTTTACCTGTTGTAGTTGCGAAACGTGGAGAATCTTGAATTGGAATGAGACAGCTAATTTCCCTGTCATTGCTCGCAAGTTTATTGGTTGTTCAATTCAACAAAGAAATGTTGATTCTGATTCTCCGTTTGGTACATTATTTTAACTACGGTGAAGTTGTTGCCAGCAGTTTAATGGTATGATCTGTTCGTTTGCTTTTCCTTTTCGCCGATGCACAGTTATGGAAGCTGGGGCCAACGCAGGCGGTTTGCATATTCGATGGTTCGGATTGTGATTCGAATGAAGAGGTAGGTGAATATTGTGACTTCGAACTTTTATGTATGGCTTTCTTGGTTGCTCGCCTCATATTTGTCTGAATTGAGATTTTGAAGTGAGTATGGCTCCAAGAAAGCTATTTTCTTGCTTATTTCTGGTTATTTGTAGATTCTTCAGGAACATCATGCATGTGATGAATTATATAGTTCTTGAACTGTTGTGGAGATTGTTTATGTGTTAACGTCATTACTTTTTACCAGAAATATTCAAAGGGAGTCTCTGTTCAGTTTAGAAATGAGGAGGAAAGCAGGATCTTCCATTGTGCATTTGAGCAATGGAAGAAAGGAATCGTGACTCAAGGTGCTATGCTCTGGATAAATGTCCTGGTTCATATAGAGTAGTAACCCTGTTTGCATTCTTCTGAACTCTGATATTGAGGATTTTCTCATCACATCCCTTCCTTGTCCTGCTCTCTTTACTCTTTTCCAGTGTTCTGCTTTCGTATTTCCGTATTTCCGTGTTTGTTTTGTCACTTCTTTTCTGTTGGAAGTCGGTGTTTTGGTTTAAAATTTTCATATTGCAAGAAAGTGTTTGCATTAACGTTGTAATAGTTTCGGTTGTTGCTGGGTTAATAGATTACTTGGTATTCTCACAACAAAACTATCGTCCAATGGAAATATGCACCTTGAAAAATGGACTGTGTAGTGCTTTATGTAGTTCTGTTGAAACTTTTAGGATAATGGTTGAGATTTCGCATCTACGACTAGTTTATGTAGTAGTGACCATAAGTTATGCGAATCGTTAGTAGAATTATTGTCCAACTGACACAGTTTTAGTGCATGACAAGAGTCTAGTTCTTCCTGCTGCTGCTTATTGTTTTGTAAGTCAGCTGGATCATGAGTTCATATATACGTTCAATTGTTGTACTCCATGCCAGAAGCCTGAACAACTTGCTTATCCAAATTTGTTTCCACACCCATATTTGCAGGCCTTTTCTGTTAACTCTCTTTGTGAGGTTATTCTTAGGTGTCCCGCCTAATTCTTTTGATGCTTGCCAACTTGTATTGTCTCGTTTATTTATTTGTTCCCCCCTTCTCTGTCTCTCAGGAGAATCTTTGCCTAATGGAACATTGAGTAGTAAAAGCAAGTTTGATGACAAGATAGAGCCTTCATCAGCAAAAATGTATTTCCATTATTATGGACAGTTACTACACCAGCAAAATATGCTCCAGGACTATGTCAGGACAGGTAATGTGATATTGAATGCGGCTGCCTATTCTCGTTCTAGGGCACTATGAATGTTGTGTTGCTGTCTTAAAAAATTAGAATGTTAGTTAGTTTTGCTTTGCTAGGGGTTGTGAGAATCTGCAAATGGTATTGCCTTACTGGTACAACATTTGTTTCAGGAACATATTATGCTGCAGTCATAGAGAATCGTGCAGATTTTTTTGGTCGTGTGGTGGTAGATGTTGGTGCTGGTAGTGGTATCTTGTCATTATTTGCCGCTCAGGTATATTCAGTTTTGTGATTGGGGTGCTCTTACTGCTGCCATTCTATTTGCTCATATTATTCTGCTTTTGGTCCAGGCTGGGGCAAAGCATGTCTATGCTATTGAAGCATCTGAGATGGCAGACTATGCCACCAAGCTTATTGCTGGCAATCCAGCACTTGGCGAGAGGATTACGGTGAGTGTTTAAAGTTCTTTGTATATATATGTTCTAAAAACTCCACTGAAGCTTCCGTTTGATCTCTGATTTTCTTGGTCCATTGCCAACATGAGTGTAGGTAATAAAGGGTAAAGTAGAGGAAGTCGAGTTGCCAGAGAAAGCGGATATTCTGATCTCTGAACCTATGGGTACCTATCATACACTCGTGAATATTTCCTTGTAGTTGTGCATTCATAAATTCATTGATATGTCTTGAATACATTTACCTGCACATTAATTTTATATTTGTTATTAACATAAATTCCTTTCCTTTTGGAGCTGGGAAAAGATCCTTGTTAGCTAAATGATGAATGCCTTTGAAAAGGCTACAAATTTAAGATTTCTGAAGTTCCATTGATACTTCATAGTCATACATGTTCTGTTTTTAGAAAATAATTATTGGATGTGGCTTGTAGGAACGTTGCTGGTGAATGAAAGAATGTTGGAGACGTATGTTATTGCAAGAGATCGGTTTCTTGCTCCCACAGGAAAAATGTTCCCATCTGTTGGCAGGTAAAGATTGCAATTGAAATCCGGAACTTGAACACCACACATGATATTAGGATATCAAACTGTGTAGAGTTCAGTAAAATGTGGATATTAACACCAGGCATATTTGTAAGCATAAGGACTGATCGATATGGGTTGAAGATTTCCACTTTTGTTCCTGGTCTACCGAATGTAGACTTTACGATTTGCTATAGGTTTTTAATTAAAGTACTGAATTTGGCAGGATACATATGGCTCCTTTCAGCGATGAGTATTTGTTTGTTGAAGTTGCTAATAAGGTATGTAATTCTTTGAATGTTATTTTCATGCCTGCTCCTGGTTCAGAGGTGTAATAGTCGGTTAATTTCATCGCTATTTGCCTTATGTTGTTCATCTGCAGGCCCTTTTCTGGCAGCAGAAGAACTACTTTGGTGTTAATCTAACACCCCTGCACGAATCTGCTTTCCAGGGTTACTTTTCTCAGGTGTTTGTTGAATCTCATCAAACTTTTATTATCTTTTCTATAGATGTTTGTGCCATAAAGTTCTTTACCATTTTCAACAGATATGCATTCTTAAGTGGTCATTGAATCCTGACGTTTTCAGTAATTATTTTTTTCTGTTTCTGCAGCTAGTTGCAAGTTATATGTTTACTAATTATTACAATCTTGATTCCAGCCTGTTGTAGATGCATTTGATCCAAGGCTATTAGTAGCTCCCGCGACGTATCATGTGCTAGACTTTGCTCAGATGAAGGTACCTGCCACCCTTGTAATCTGTTCTTGTTTGTCAAACATGCTTGAGGAAATGGAGTCTCTTGGACTCTTAGTCTGCCATATTCAGCCATTTAATTTTACTGATGAGGTTGCTAGGTAATCAAAACGTTCCTGGATTGACTTGGGAACTTATCTCTCTTTTTCTCCTCATTTACCTCAGGAAGAGGATTTGTACGAATTAGATATCCCCTTGAAATTCACAGCCTCTGTTGGCACTAGAGTGCATGGACTAGCTTGTTGGTTTGATGTCTTGTTTAATGGAAGGTATGTGTTCGATTCGGTTTACGTTTCTTCTGATATCCTATAGATTAAAGACTTCACTTCCATTATTATCTATGATATTGATCGGGAGCTGTGTTACTGGACAGTACCGTGCAACGGTGGCTTACTACTGCCCCTGGTGCTCCGACGACCCACTGGTATCAGCTTCGCTGTGTCCTGGCTCAGCCACTCTATGTCATGGCAGGGCAAGAAATTACCGGCAGGCTTCAGTTAGTTGCACACAGTGCGCAGAGTTACACCATCCATCTCACTTTGTCAAGTAGGTGTCTTTCCCAGCTCTGGAGTCTGTCCCACCATTTGTCGACATTGTTAGAGTACACGAGTGACTAACTTGCTTTGTAAACAGCTAAAATGTGGGGTCCGGGTGCTGAACAAGGCGGAATACTCCAGACCTCATCATGCAAACTCGATCTGAAAGAACCATACTATCGAATGTCTCAACCACAAGCTTACGCAATGCCTCAGGAACCGCAACCTCAACAATTCATCCCTACACAGGTAAGGGGAAAATGTTTGCCATTTGTTTCTCTCTTTACCCAATCCACAAGTGACCCGAGTAAACGTGTTAGATTGGAGTGAGTAAACGTATTGTTTTGGTATATGATCGTTGTGTTGCAGCTGCAGGATGTACACATTCAAGCAGATGACCTAGATGATACAGATTTGATACAGCCGTTGCAGAATTTGGAAGCTCAGCTCCCATAGGCCCGGCCGGCTCTGTGTGACAATAATCTTCTTTTGACGTAGATTTGTGTTCTCTGTAACATAGAATTACAAACCCACTGGCTCTGGAAGGCCAAGGTTTCCCCCCTCAGTGTAATTTGCTTACTCCTTTCTCCAAACAATTATGAGGTGATTTGCTTTATCGTTTGAAGCTTTACCTCATGAGGTATGCAGAATAATCGAGCCTTGTTTTCTCCAAAATTTTGGTTCTTGAACTGCATTTAGTGAAATGTATGGAAAACTTGTGAGGATGAGTATTGATACTGGTTCAATATGGCAAATGTTAACAGCGGCACTGCCGGCAGTAACCACCGTCGCTTCCACCGATTCCGTATCCTTGTAGCTTCCTCGTCCTCTTCAATTCCGTCGAGGGCGCTACGGAGGAAAAGCTACCTGCAGCATCCTAAAATCGTCAAAACCCTAACTAAAGCCTTGCCAACTGCTCCTCTCCCGGAGATTGTTCCACCAGCTGAAGAAGTTGAGAGCTATGTAGCTTCCGAGGCAGTTAACAATGCTGGAAATTTTGGGGGCGTAATTGGTAAACTATCTGTGAATTCTGTTTTGAAGTTTGCTGTTTTGTTGCTTGGATTCTTCGTACTCGAGGCGGCAGTTGCTGTGCTGTTATTTGGACCGCCCGAGAAGGAGGAGAGGTTGAGAAATTTGGATAAGAGAAGGAATTTTAAGGTCTCAGTTTGGGAATGTGGGTTACTTTGGTGATGGTGGTGGATTGGAAGAGAAGGTCAATGTGATTAGGGCAATGGCGAGAGAGAGTGAGAAAAGGCAGGTGGAGGATGAGCAGGAGATTGGGATTGAGAAAGGACGTAAATGAAAGGTTGGTGAAGCTGCAGATGAAACTGGATTCCAAGAAACATGGAAAATTTGTTTTTTCTTTTGAGGCATCTCTAAAATTATAGCAGCTCGTATTCAGTTCTAGAGATTTTTAATATTCGTTGACTGTCGAGAAACTTTCTACTGAACTGTGGCTTGAACATATTCAACATGAAATTGCAACCCAACACAGCGCAAGTGTTTTTTTTGTTATTGGGAATCATGTAGCAGAGATTTACATGAAACTATGAGAATTCTGATGAAGACATCATCTCTACATGTAGAAAATTCAATAGCTTTTACTATCAACTACTGCGAACATTGAAAATCTCGTGTTTATGGTGACACAGCAGTGATTTTGATCAAAGAATGAGCATGCACAGGCGCTAAATACGACTCGCAGAAGCTCTGCCATATCTCCTGCTTCTCCTCTTCATCTCTTGTATAAACTTCATAGATAGAAACAACGACTTTCCTTGCAGCTTCTCTCGCTTCAGGTAGTTTATCATTCAGCAACCCGATGGCCATTTGAGCCAGTGGCACAAACCCGAATTCCTTCATCTCTTCCATCCCCTGCACCAAAGAATGAACTCTTTTAAGTTTTAACCTAACCCAGTTCTAAAACATCTTACAAAAAACAGAGTAACTAGCAGAAGTAAAATCGTACCATTTTGGCGACTGCATTGGAGATGGAAACTGCAGCTTTAGCCCGGACTCTAAGGTTATGATGACTGCCATATCCCTTCAGCTTCTGCAGCAGAGGCAACGAAGTCATGGACTTCACCATGGAACTCAATGCTCTGTCGGCTTCTTCACATACGAACTTCTTGTCTTGTGAAGATTTCAGCAGAAGCTGGAGAAGCTGATGGAAAATCGAAAGGACCTAACTTATTATTAGCAAGAGAAATTGGTTACCTAACCGGCAAAAGGATTGGGAGATGAAGTTCATACCCAGCTGTCAAATGCATCTGTTTTTGAGTCAAGCAGCTTGTCGCCATATGCAGAGAAGATATCCGAGGAAGCCATGATAGAAGTCTTGATCAGAGCACTTCTAGGGTTCTTCATCGCCTTGACCAGCACTGACATTGCCTTTTCCCTGTGCACACGAAAGCCCACATCAATCAATCAATTACCAACAATTCACTCTCTTGGAAATTTGTCTGTGAAGAACTCTCAATACTTACAAGTTTGGAACCAAGAGCTCAGAGTGGAAGATTGCGAATTGCCGCGCCTTGTTCAGTGACGCACACAGCTTCATCCAGTCTTTCGAATCAAAACCCTCAATCATTTCCTGAAAAACCCCCCAAATCCTGAATTGCTTAATCTCAATGATAATGGAATCTGGGTTATGCTCAGAGTGCAGAAAACAGAGAGTGACCCAGAATTACAAAAGAGAGAAAGGAACCAACTTGAATCTCAGAGATTGGATCTTCAATGGCGACGAGTTGCTCGGAAGGGACGTAATCAATTGAAGCCTCTCCAGCTGGCGGTTGCAGCGGCGGAGCAGTGTTTTCGTCGTTGGCTTTTGATTCAGGCTCTTTCTGGGCGGCGGCTGGGACAGAGGCTTTGAGTTGCTTCATTGGCCTCTCCGGCGGCGGCACAGGCAGGGCATTATCGATGGGCCTTAACGCCATTGTTGTTGTTCTCCGGTGATTGAACAAGATTTTAGAATGGAAGGAAAAAAAAAAAGAGTTTTGATCTTTGTGGGCGAAAGGCGCTGCGACGAATGGGATTTTTAACGGTGGGCGAGAACAAAAAAGGTAACTTAGGATTCGAATTTTAAAACCAGGCTGCTAGATAGACGTTGCTGGGCCGCCGCCGCCTTTTCGTAACGGTCAAATTTATATCTTAAACGAGGAGTTGAAACGTCGTCGTTCGGTCTGACAGCCTAGCGAACCGCAGCAACGTGGCGCGCGTTTGGTAAACGGCGTCGCTTTGCAGTCTCGGTCGTCTCTTGCAAATCTGCCATTGGATTTTGGCGACTACAAGACTTTGAAGATGGATTGTAACCTCGGTTCCACGCCGATCACATTCAGATGGAGGGGTTTCAGTTCCGGCAACTTCTCTGGCGTCTTTGTTCGTGCTATGGGCTCAACTCAACCTATCGCCTCCATCGCCTTATCCTCTCTCGCAGCTCTTACTTTCAGGTTTTGCTCTCCGCTTCATCTTGGGCACAAAATTCAACGGTTTGTTTCATTTGGCTTCCGTTGGTGGCTGCGATGGTATGTGGGTGGAATTTGGAAGTTCGATTAGAGATTCAGTGGAATGCTATGAGTTTAGAATTGGAATTGCCCCCTTTTGTGTGTTTGAGATTTGCGGGAAACTGAGAAGAGAATTGATGTCGTGGTATCCATTTTCTTAGTTACCATGAACCAATTAGGGGTTGATTTGACGCGGCTTGCTTGTCCTGATTCGCGATATATACGTGCTGTGTGGCAATTCTTGCTATGAAGTTGATACCCTTCTATTGATATGCTTAGGATGGCAATTTCGACCTATGGATGACCGTTCTCAGAAAACAAAACTGCTAGGGAGCCCAGCATCTTCTGGGATCAATGCACTGTATCTCCTTCGTCATCCCTCGTCTCAGTCATCTGTCTGCTACTTCTTCTTCTTCTTCCACTTTAAAGGTTACAGTTTATTTGGAAAACCCAGAATCTAAAAATGGCCAGACCATTTCATTTGCAGGGATCAAATGCAATGTTGCTTCTGCTGCTGGTGGTATTACCGGTGGATCCAGCCGGCAAGAAACGGGCGTTTGTAGGTGTGGGAACAACACTAGCGCACCTCTTACTTATTGCAACCCTCGTGGCAAGAAGCAATCTCCTCCTACTATACATTCTTCCACCACTGCAATGAAAGAAGAAACCAAGGGTAAGAAGTCTACTCCGCCACCACAGTGGGAGACGGAGTCTGGTTCAGCTTGGTGATTGTCTCAAGGGATCAAAAACTCCGTTGATACATTGACATTGTACAAATTCCATGATCCAGAGTTGGCCACCAGCCACTTCAGCGGATCTAACAGGATTAAACGCTCTGCCTGCAAGGGATCCTTTAATGGACATACTGCAGTGGTGAAGGTGATGAAAAGTGATCTCTCTGCATCCCCCGAGATCAACATTCTGAAGACAATTAGCCACTCCAACACCATCCGCCTCTCTGGGTTTTGCGTCAATGATGTCACACCACCTATCTTGTTAATGACTATGCCGAGAATGGTGCTCTCTCCGAGTATATTTTTTTCGCCCTGCTGCAACAAGAAACACTCACCTGGAAGCAGAGGGTTCAGATAACGAACGATGTTGCAGAAGCCCTCAACTACTCTGACCCTCCTTACATCCACAAGAACTTGAAGACTAGCAAAACATCCACTAGGATGATGACTTGCGAGCCAAGGTAACGAACTTTGGATTGGCCAGAGGCCCAGAGCCTCGGTTTTTGAGGAGAACGGGAATGGAGTTGGAGGAGCATCACAATTAACAAGGCACGTTGTTGGTGAACAAGTCAGAGAGCACCTGTAGCCGCCCACACCAAATCCTCCGCCACTTGTGCTACAGTACTCGGAGAAAGTTGTGAGCTTTTTCTCTTTTCAATCATTTAGATTTAGATTGGAAGAATATATTATATACAATAGCGTTATTCTGCTAACCCTTTAAGTGGTTAGCAGATACTAACAGGGTGGGATATAGGGCCACGTCGCCAAGCCACCATCGGAGGGTGAGGGGTCGTCGGCGCTGTTCTGTGAGGGGGGGAGATTTTTTGGGCCAAGCCAAGCCACTTTTGGGAAAAATGGGGTAGAAATAAAAAATAAAAAAACCCAAATTTCAAACCCAAAACCCATCAAACCAGCGTCATCAGCCATTCTCTCTCCCCTCTCTCCAACTTTCGAACCCTCCTCCCTTTCTTCTTCTCCCGAAAACCGCAGAAAACCACCGCGCCACCGAGGTCTGCGACGGCGACGACGGCAGCGAGGTCGGCGACCGCTTGTTGGATCTCCCGCCGCCGCCGACGTTGACGCTGGACCGACCGACGAGGAAGAAGAGGCCGCCGACGAAGAAGAAAGAAGAAGAGGGAGCCGACTTCGCCGACGAAGAAGGCCGTCGCCGTCGCCGCCGATAGTGGAAGGTAGAAGAAGACTGAGATAGTTCTATTTCTCTCTTTATTGTTCATTTTGTTTGTGGATTTGAATATTTATGTTAGGGTTTCGGTTTCATGGATTTTTTTTGTGGAAATCTAGGTTTTGTTTATGGATTTGATAATTTATGGTTCATGTAATTCGATTTAGGGTGTTTAGGGTTTTGATGCTGGATTACATATATTTGATTTAGGGTTTCATAGATTCGACTGAATCTGAGTTTTTTTTTGCTTCGTTTTTTGGATCTGAGATACATTGTTAGGGATCTGGGATTCTTGTAGGGGGATTTGAGATTCGATTTGGGGGATCTGGGATTCTTTTGATTTGGGGGATTTGGATTTCTTTCGATTTGGGGATCTGGGATTTTCTGTGGCTGGATTACATATATTTGATTTAGGGTTTCATAGATTCGACTGGAACTAAGTTTTTTTTTTGTTTCATTTTTTGGATCTGAGATTCATTGTTAGGGATCTGGGATTCTTGTTGGGGGATTTCAGATTCGATTTGGGGGATCTGGGATTCTTTTGATTTGGGGATTTGGATTTCTTTCGATTTGGGGGATCTGTGATTTCTTGTTGGGGGATTTGAGATTCGATTTGGGGGATCTGAGATTCTTTTGATTTGGGGATTTGGATTTCTTTCGATTTGGGGGATTTGTGATTTTTTTGTGGCTGGGATTTCTTTCGATTTGGATTTCTTTTAATTTGGGGGATTCGTTTTTTGATGTCGATATTGTTTGGGGTTTCTGGATTTTGCTCGTTAATTTGATATTTTTTTACCTGGAAAATTGTTTAGCTGGCATGGGATATCATTTAGTTTAATGTGGATATTGTTTGGTGGTTGATTGTTCGGATATTGGGGATACCATTTAGTTTAATGTGGATATTGTTTGGTGGTTGATTGTTCGGATATTGGTTATGTGATGCATAGATATTTGTATGCTAGGTTTGGATATATTTATGCCCTGTATGGATATTAGTTCAATGATATTAGTTCTTTTAAGGAATTGTTTCTGGATTTGGGGGATTTGGGTTTCTTTCGATTTGGGGGATCTGGAATTTTCTGTGGTTGGGATCTGAGATTAGATTTGGGAGAATCGGGATTCTTGTTATTTGATTTAGGGTTTCATGGATTCAATTGAATTTGAGTTCTTTTTTTGTTTTTGCTTCATTTTTTGCAGTTGAGATTCGTTGTTAGGGATCTGGGATTCTTGTCGGGGGATTTGAGATCCGCTTTCTATGCATTGGGATTCGATTTGGGGGGTTCTGAGTTTTGCTCGTTAATATAGTAATTTGTTGACATGAGATATTATTTAGCATGATTGGGATACCAGTTCGTTGAATGCGGATATTGTTTGGGGGGTTCTGAGTATTGCTCGTTAATATAGTAGTTTGTTGACATGTGATATTATTTAGCATGATTTGGATATCAGTTTGTTGAATGTGGATATTGTTTGGGGGTTCTGAGTTTTGCTCGTTAATATGCTAGTTTGTTGACCTGAGATATTATTTAACATGTTTGGGATACCAGTTTGTTGAATGTCGATATTTAGCATGCCCATGATGCATGGATATTTGTATGCCCTATATGGATATTAGTCTGGACTGTGCATATGCCTAATGATTTCTTTCCATGTATTTCAGGAATTTTGCAAGATGACAAGATCCAAAAGATGTTCGATTCCAGCTCCTCCATGAGAAGGGGAGGTGGAGGCACATCACTGGCTAAAACTATTGCTTTCTCATTTCTTATGTGGTTGTGCTTTTTCGGATTTGAGATTCTGGGATTGCCAAGTTGTAATGGCATTGAATACTAGTTTTATCGCGGTTTGTCGATAAACAATTTGAGTTTGTTATTCTGGAATATTATTATGTTAGGGTCTGGATATTAGTTATGAAATGTATTGATATTAATATGCGCTGTCTGGATATTATGCTCTCATATTAGTTCTGTGAGGTCCAATGTTACTTAAGTGAGTCTGGATATAACACAACCAAATATTCGATCGTCCTAAACTAATATCCGCAAAGTTTAATAAAGACATGGATACTGGGTTGGTGAAGGATGGATACTGAACACAGAATAATAGTTCATTTCAACGATGATACTAGTAAGTAGATAAATAAATAAGAATAATACTTTCTCATTTCACCGGTGTTATCGTCATCATCCGACTCTGAATTGGAAATGAAAAACAACTCAACAAGGACATCAAGGAACATCGACACAAACCAATCCATGTAAAAACCACAAACCTTGTCATACACGTCCACATAGACACCCTTCTAATATCCATTCATTGCAAAACTAATATCTAATAGTTGTAACCTAAACCGTGAACCCTAAACAAACAAAACTAAACCCTAAACTCTAAAACCCTAATCACTAAACTCTAAAAAATAAAAACTATTATTGTTTGCCCAAGCCGAGAATATTCAAAGGCTCCACACAAATATTCAAACACATGAACTAAAGGAATATTTTCTTAGGTTCAAATAAATATCCACACAACCCGGACAAATATCACAATATTTTAAATAAAAATCCTGTGGTTAGTAAAAAGTATTACAACTAGCAAAGACAAGTATCCACAACACACTAACTAATATCTTACATTTGTACCCTAAACCCTAAACTCTAAACTCTAAAACACTAATCACTAAACACTAAAAAACAAAACTATTATTATTTGCCCAAGCCGAGAATATTCGAAGGTTCCACACAAATATCTAAACACATGAACTAAAGGAATATTTCCTCAGGTTCAAATAAATATCCACACAACCCGGACAAATATCAAAATATTTGGAAGAAATATCATGTGGTTAGTAAAAAGTATTACAACTATGAAAGACAAGTATCCACAACACTCCAACTATTATCTTCTATTTGTACCCTAACCCTAAACTCTAAACTCTAAATCACAAAACACTAAAAAAATAAAACTATTATTGTTTGTCCAAGCCGAGAGTATTCAAAGGTTACACACAAATATCTAAACACATGAACTAAAGGAATATTTCCTCAGGTTCAAATAAATATCCACACAACCCGGACAAATATCAAAATATTTGGAAGAAATATCATGTGGTTAGTAAAAAGTATTACAACTATGAAAGACAAGTATCCACAACACTCCAACTATTATCTTCTATTTGTACCCTAACCCTAAACCCTAAACTCTAAATCACAAAACACTAAAAAAATAAAACTATTATTGTTTGTCCAAGCCGAGAGTATTCAAAGGTTACACACAAATATCTAAACACATGAACTAAAGGAATACTTCCTCAGGTTCAAGTAAATATCCACACAACCCGGACAAATATCAAAATATTTCGAAGAAATATCATGTGGTTAGTAAAAAGTATTACAACTATGAAAGACAAGTATCCACAACACTCCAACTATTATCTTCTATTTGTACCCTAACCCTAAACCCTAAATCCTAAACCCTAAACTCTAAATCACAAAACACTAAAAAAATAAAACTATTATTGTTTGCCCAAGCCGAGAGTATTCAAAGGTTACACACAAATATCTAAACACATGAACTAAAGGAATATTTCCTCAGGTTCAAATAAATATCCACACAACCCGGACAAATATCAAAATATTTGGAAGAAATATCATTTGGTTAGTAAAAAGTATTACAACTATGAAAGACAAGTATCCACAACACTCCAACTATTATCTTCTATTTGTACCCTAACCCTAAATCCTAAACTCTAAACTCTAATCACTAAACACTAATAAAACAAAACTATTATTGTTTGCCCAAGCCGAGAATATTCAAAGGTTACACACAAATATCTAAACACATGAACTAAAGGAATATTTACTCATGTTCAAATAAATATCCACACAACCCGGACAAATATCAAAATATTTTGAATAAATATCATGTGGTTAGTAAAAAGTATTAAAACTATGAAAGACAAGTATCCACAACACACCAACTATTATCTTCTATTTGTACCCTAACCCTAAACACTAAACTCTAAACTCTATCACCCTAAACACTAAAAAAATAAAACTATTATTGTTTGCTCAAGCCGAGAATATTCAAATGTTACACTCAAATATCAAAACAAAATTATGAACTAAAGGAATATTTCCTCAGTTTCAAATAAATATCCACACAACCCGAAAAATATCAGAATGTTTTAAATAAATATCATGTGTGTAGTAAAAAGTATTACAACTAGGAAATACAAGTATCCACAACACACCAACTAATATCTTCTATTTGTACCCTAACTCTAAACCCTAAACTCTAAACTCTAAAACCCTAATCACTAAACACTAAAAAAATAAAACTATTATTGTTTGTCCAAGCCGAGAATATTCAAAGGTTACACACAAATATTTAAAATAAAACATGAAACATTGAAACAAGAAACCCTAACCCCGAACCCTAAACAATGAACACTACTAAATAAACTCTAAAAACAATATAATCAGGAAAGAATAGATATTCATACTGACCAGACTAAACTTTAAACCCTAAAAGAGAACCCAAACCCTATTGTTGAAACCTTAACCCGGAGAATGCTATGCTATCGTCGATGGAATGGAGCAAGGCAGTTTGTGAATTTCATTTGGATTTGCATGTGTGATGTAGTACGAACACATCCTAGTAATTAGTAATTAAGCAATGGTTTCAACTTTCACGGGGAACTTGGATTTGTATGTGTGACCAAGAACGATAAAACAGTACCGAAAAGTTAGTGGTAGAGTATTTTGTGTTGAATCCGTGGTGTACCTGTCATTTCAGTTGTTTCACTACGGGGAAAACAATCTGAAACCATGCTGCTCAGATTCAATTAAATATCCAGACAACCCAGACAAATATCCAGACAACCCAGACAAATTATTTAAAATAACTATCAGTTCCTTAGTAAAAAGTATTAAATTCTTTTCAAAAAATATCCACAACACACAAACAAATATCTATTATTTGTACCCTAACCCTAAACCCTAAACTTTAAACTCTATCACCCTAATCACTAAACTATAAAAAAATAAAACTATTATTGTTTTCCCAAGCTGATAATATTCATAGGTTCCAGAAAAATATCCAAACACATTAACTAAGAGAATATTTCCTCGGGTTCAAATAAATATCCATACAACCCGGAAAAAAATCAAAATATTTTGAATAAATATCAGTATGTCAGAAACAAGTAATACAACTAGGAAAGACAGGTATCCACAACACACAAACTAATATCTAATATTTGTACCCTAACCGTAAACCCTAAACTTTAAACTCTATCACCCTAATCAATAAAACACTAAAAAAATAAAACTATTATTGTTTTCCCAAGCTGAGAATATTCAAAGGTTCCACAAAAATATCCAAACACATGAACTAAGGGAATGTTTCCTCAGGTTCAAATAAATATCTGCACAGCCCGGATAAATATCCTCGGGTTCAAATAAACTCTATCACCCTAAACTCTAAACCCTAAACACTGAACCCTAAACCCTAAACAATCAACACTACTAAATAAAGTCTAAAAACAATATAATTAGGAAAGAATAGATATTCATACTGACCAGACAAAATCCTAAACCCTAAAGAGAACCCAAACCCTTATGTTGAAACCTTAACCCTAACCTCTATACCGTAAACCGTAAACCATAAACCAAACCTAAACAATCAACCCTAAAAAATAAACCGCTCATCAATAAAAACTATTATTATTTAATGGGCCTTCGGCCCATGGGCCCTCGGCGGGCAACCCTAACTAAGGTTGCAAGCCTTACGTGTTAGGACTTGATAGTGTGTAGGACTTGCTAGTGTGTTTAATTTGATGGACACAATATTCCAATCTTTCACAAATTGAAAACCAGAACTCTAAACCCTAAAACTAATTCTCTAAATTGGTTTAATCAGTTTATGGTGGTTGGGTGATTTTGGGCCGCCGTTAAACATTAATACGACCCAAAATTTCAACAATGATGCAAAGCACTATCAACATAACATAAATTAATATCCACTGAGAACAAATAAATATCCACACAGAATAACATACATAAATATAACATGGGCCCATCAAATTTGGTTCTCTTTCCACTCCTATCCATTCTCCCGCCCAAAACTCAAGCCGGGCCCACCAGCTTGCCAGCCACTTTCAGCCATTCTCAGCCGCCGCCACTTGCTGGGCTGGCTTCTACCTATTGGCCCACCTACAGCTCACTTAAGTGAGCCACGAAAAAGCCGCCTCTCCCCTTTATTGGATCAAATCCCCGCCGACGTGGCCCTTCATCCTGCCCTGTTAGTATATGTTAACACTTTGCCCTGTTAGCAGAATAACTTCAGCGTATTATATAGGGGACAGAGATTAAAATAAGGAGGGAGCAGATGGAGGTTTGTGGGGGGAATGGATCAGGTCAGTAACCTTATGGTGAGTAACCATGAGTAACCCGTCCACATCAGCATGACATCAGCATTCTCTCTCTTATAGAAAGCCTTTAATTTTTCCTTCTTTAATCTTTGACGGATGATTTCTCGCTCATTTTAAGTCGAAATTTAATTTTTTTTGCACAGTTAGATCAGATTAATTGTGCTCTTCAAAATGATATCCACTTTAATATATTTTTCGAACAAAAAAAATTGAGCCATTTTTTACCAGCCTATACCATATGGTATTGACTGGTATTGAAATAAAAGCATACCTATGTTTTGAAAAACGTACCATGGTGGTATGAACAAACCAATACTGTAGGATGGTTGAATACATAATAGTAGAAGTATATTAATTGTAATTTACGACTTTTAACATTGTACCACACAATACCACCCCGTACCAGGGTGGTATTGTATGGTATTGTGTGGTATTTTTTGGTCCTGTAATTTGTTCACCCAGAAATTTGTAGATCCAATAGATCATGATGAACTCGTCCCTTCTGTGCAAACGTTTTCAAAAACGAATTAAAAACGAACAAGATATCATACAATACCACCCCGTACCAGGGTGGTATTGTATGGTATTGTGTGGTATTTTTTGGTCCTGTATTTTGTTCACCCAGAAATTTGTAGATCCAGTAGATCATGATGAACTCGTCCCTGCTGTGCAAACGTTTTCAAAAACGAATTAAAAACGAAGAAAATACCATATGGTATGCAGTTGGTACCGAGAGGCTAGAATTTTTTTTCCTCAAAAAATATTGAAAATTGATCTCATTTTGTAGAGCACGGTGAACTCGTTCCATCTGTGCAAAAAAAATTAAAATCCGAGTTAAAACGAAAAAGATATGAGTCAATTAAGAAAGCTAGTGAAAATAAAAATAATCTTTAATTCTCCATCCTTAGATCTGGATTTTCTAAATGAAGGATCCAGATTTGGTTATTGATGGGTGCATAACCCATGATTATGCACCCTATCTTGAGCCGTTTGTGGGGAGGCCGGAAAACGACGCGAAGTCTGCGGCTTGATGCTTTTCTCCTCCTCCAAGCTGTGCTGTCTGGTTCCTGCCTGAAAATATTGTTTGGGATGTATGTAAATCTTTGTCTTGTTATTATAGTATGAAGCAAAGCAAATCCAACTACTCTCTACTGCAACAAACAATTCCTCCTGAACCTGATTCCTATTCGGTGCCACCAGTTAGCGTATGATTGCCGAGCTCTTCAACTCGCCGATCTGGTGAAACTTGTTATGGACAGAGCAGCATTCGGCGGCGGAGGAGGGATGTATTCGTACGAGAATGGAGTGGTGATGACGAGAGACCCAAAGCCGCGGCTGAGGTGGACGGCGGATCTTCACGATCGTTTCGTTGATGCTGTTACCAAGCTGGGTGGCCCTGAAAGTAAACCCATCCAACTGCTTCTCTTCTTCCCATCTTGGCTTGGTTCGACATTGACTTAGTTGGGAAGTTTTTCTTTTGTTGATTACAGAGGCGACGCCCAAGTCAGTACTGAGATTGATGGGGCTGAAAGGTCTGACATTGTACCACTTGAAGAGTCATTTACAGGTTCGCTGATTTTCACTGTGATTGATTGATTGAATGAATGAATCTCTTCTGGGTATTTGCTATTTAGGCAATGGCTTTAATGTTATGAATTATATATGCAGAAGTACAGGCTGGGAGAGCAGCAGACAAAGAAACACTGCGACAACCCAGAACAGAGGACCAGAGAGATTCATACTCATAATGGTTTGTTAATTCACCTGCTACTGCTAGTGCCCTTTTCAGTTGTAGTTTCGTTTAGGAATAGCAAAACGAATTCCTTTGTCAGCTCCTCAAGGAAAGTTCTCTCCTTTTTTTCTTGGTGTGTTCTGTAGGATCTTCTCCATACATACATTTCAACAACCATTCCTCAGCTGGTGGTGCAGCAAGTGCCACTTCTTCCATTTCGTCCAGAGATACTGCTGAGCCGGGGTATGTTCATATTCCATTATTACTTGGGTCCTTTCTTCTTGTATTCTCTCATAGGAAATAGAAGTAGTAGTCTGCACTTAGGCAGAAATTTACCCCCAAGTAATTGTAGAAATTGAAAGAAAGAAGGAAAACATTTGGAGGGGTTGACATAAGCAGATAGAATGATAGATACGTTTTAGATCTATAACTGGCATTGGTTGGTGGAAGGAAAGAAGGAACATTAGCTAGTCTAGATGGAATTGATGTACATAAACATGTGTTGACTTTGTCCAGATCCAACCCATGTTCTCATTTCCCTTCTTACGACAACTGATGATTGAATTTCTTGCAATGTTTTTTATTAAGCAGAGAGCTCCAGATCACTGATGCGTTGAAATCCCAGGTAGAGGTCCAGAAAAGACTGCAAGAACAGCTCGAGGTAGGAAGAAACTACTGTTGTATGCTTGTTCTGGTTCTCACAGGAAACAAAAAAAAAAAAAAAGAAGGAATATTGGTGATTCAACTTGAGTTCTGCTTGTGCCAAAACTGTTGCAGGTGCAGCAGAAGTTGCAGGTGAGAATAGAGGCACAAGGGAAGTACTTGCAAGGAATACTCGAGAAAGCGCAGAAAAGCTTAACCACGGCGATGACAAGCAGTGGGAATGTGGACGTGGCGAGGGCTCAATTAACCGACTTCAATCTGGCTCTGTCCACCTTGATTCACAACTTGAACGCAACATCAGAAGAGGAGGAAGAAGAAGAAGAAAGGAAACACCACAACTTACAGCAGCAACAAGAAGATGAAGCCGATGGTATGAAACATCTGTATATTAACACTAGGGCTCATCGTCACACGAATTTGGGAAGTAGTTTCCATGTGGAGGGATCATTGGGGGCACTTGACGATGAGGAGAGTGATCTCAAGTTGGATATGGAAGCTGGAGTTCATTTTGACTTGAATGCCAAAGACGGTGGTGGCATTAGAAACACTCTTGTTTCTGCTAATACTAACACTATTAGTAACAGCCATGGGTTTGAGTTGGAACTAAGGATGCTGCCTTATGGGTTATCATAATCAATCATTTATGAAGGTTGGGTGAAAAATTACAGGGAAAGTAGAGAGAATTTATACTCCAAGAGTCGCCTAATGCTAATTGCGTTGTCCAAAAGTTCGTTCATATTATATACTGTGGAACAAACAATGCAAAGATCGGTACAGTCAATCCGAACTCTTATCGCTTACCCTCTTTGATACCAATGTCTCTTACATCACGAACCTTCTCTACATGTAATGTGCATTCTTTCATTATGTTTCGTGGTCTTAATTCATTTGGAGGGCAGTGCTGCTAAAACGTACATTCACAATAATAGCTGCAATGATGGCCCCGTTATAGGCGACATGAGTTCCTTGATTCAGCTGTTGAGAATTCATTTCCATAAACGTGAGGGTAAGAGGAGAGAGAGCTCAACAGGCGGGTGTCCTTCTTCACATCTGCAACAGCTAAAGCAGAATAGATAGCTGATCAAGCAGATCTCACGATGATCGAATAACCGGATAATTGATTAACCGGCTTGCAAGATCTAGGAAAATTATGCGGAATAAAAGAAAAATTCACTACGATCGGATAACCGAGCATAAAATTACGTTTGTTTGAAGTTTCAGCCAAAAATTACATCCTTTGATCGTTAGGGGGTTGTGACGGTTATCTTTTTTAAATTAAAACCGTTGGGGTCCTGCTATTTAGTCAAGGTCAGCTAGAGAACTACAACTACACTCTACGGTTATTTCACAAAATGAAATCGGCAGCACCCTCTGTGGTTCTTTTGTAAACCATCATAACCGTAGAGTGTAGTTGTAGTTCTCTAGCTGACCTTGACTAAATAGCAGGACCCCAACGGTTTTAATTTAAAAAAGATAACCGTCACAACCCCCTAACGATCAAAGGATGTTATTTCACAAAATGAAATCGGCAGCACCCTCTGTGGTTCTTTTGTAAACCATCATAGGGAGATGCAGTCCTTTTGAAAGGATGATATGAATGAATTTTTTTTTTGGAAATGATTGTTTTTTTAAAACATTTTAGTTTTTGGTTGGTATATTGAGAAAAAAAATCTCAAAATAATTAAAAATAGAAGGTCTTGCGACTTATTGATTAAGTTTAAAGGCATGTAAAGGTTTAGTCCTTACCGGCTCACATCGGATCACACTAATGATTATATTAGATTACACCAAATCGAGTATAATGTGATCCAATTTCTCAATCCATAAATTTTATGATTAATGAAAAAAAGTTGATGGAAATGATATTTGGACTGGATCAAATGAATCAAACATAATATTTGTCTGATCCTTGATTCTATTATTGGTTGCCGCACATGTCCCCCATATTGCTCGCCAAACGTGACAAACAACCTGGAAAACGACAACAAAATCCCCACAGTCAAGAATTTTTATCATTTTCTGACTTTTCCTCTTTCACCACTTCGAATGACTATCATAAACAAAAGTAGTTGTATCACCTTTGCCTCTGTCTTCTTGTCGAGCAACCATCGCAAAGTGAATCAGAAGGTTTAGGGTATCTGTCAATCTTCAGATTGGCAAATTTTTAGGGTTTTGGTCAATCTTCCCTGATAATACAACAAATTGGGTTCGATAAGAAGAGGAAAGGAAGGAACGAACGAAGAGGATGGAGAAGGTTAGAAGATTCGGTGGGCTTACCTCCAACTCCTTGTCCGTTCGAAATATTTCTCTGCCCGATCGATCGCCTCCCCTGCGGCGGCCTTACGTCCACCTCCCCAACGGCCGCCTTACGTTCGCCTCCCCTGCACGGAAACTCCTTTCTCTGTCCTAGTCTGACATGTCCGATCAGCATCTTCCTTGGCTGATCGAGATCGACGTCGCCGCCTCCAGATGTGGAAAACGCTAAGAGAACATGAAGAGAGAAGGACAAACCCCTTCCTTTTTTTGTCCGATATGTTTTTACATGGTCTCACTAAAGTGAAAAACTTTTTTCAATAAAAATTAAATAAAAGAAAAATGAAATACAAATAAAACGGGTCTCTTAGATTGTTGGGTCGGGTATGTGGCTGACTAGGCAGTAAAAGGTGTCATTTTCATCCTCTCTGTCAGTCCAGTCAACACTTTCATTTGCCATGTCATAAAAAATCTAACGACGTTAACGGAGTCTGACGGAGGGTGACCAACGGTGATATGAATCGTAAAGTTAGTGGTTATTATGAAAAAAAAAGTAATTTGAGTGACAAATGTGAAAAATTTATATAATTTATATAATTCGAGTGACGTGTAATTTAGCCTATATTTCACTATCGGAGTGCAGTTTTCGTGACTTTCGTGAGCATTGCAAAACCCCTGCGCGAGCTTGCTTTGCTTGTCGCCGGAGGAGAAGAATACGCCGAAAACGAAAACCTCAAAATTGAGCAGCTTTGGCCATCGTTCCTCCCTTCTTTGTGTTGCGCTTCAGATCCATAGCGGTGGCCGGCGAACGTGGTATCCGTCTAATCATTGATTCCCCTCGGAAGCCTAGGAAAGTCTGGAATTCCGTGTGAATCTTGCGCTCTCTTTCCGTAGGGTTTTGGCTGCTTTCACTTCTTCTTGCGTTTCCGGGGAAAACCCTAGCTGTATGTTTTTCGCCGAGAAATGAATTTATGTAGATGGGATTTTCAGCTTCCGTTGGGTTTTATGATCTTGAAATGCCAACAATGGGCTACATGACCGGCGGTGATAGGAAGCGGGATTTGTATTCTTCTTTGGCGCCGTCGTTCTCTCCGGATTCTTTTCCGACATCGAAAAGGCTCAAAATTTCGCCCATTCACGCCCCGGGACGGACCCCGGGGCCTTCCATTAGTACCGTCGACAAGCTCTTCCGGTACCCTGAAACGACGAGGAAGCTGCGCCGGGAAGTCCACGCCCCTTGTAGGAATTTGAAATACGGGCTGGGAGCTCTTCGGTGTAAACCTGGTGGGGACAAAGAGAGTGAGAAGGTCGAGATGTTGTCTTCTGCGTACGATTATGCAAGGAGAGCAGCGGTTGAAACTCTTAGGTTTTTCGGGGTAGGCAAGAGACCACCTAAAGTGGATGAGCAGCCTGTGAAGCCGAGTAACCATGTCTTGGTGTCCGATGATTCGAGTATGGAAGAAGTTCAGGTCACTGATGACAATGATGAAAATGGTGTTAGGTCTATGGTTTTGGATGAGCCAGTGAATGAGCAGGAGAATGATGATGATGTTAGGATCGTTGGAGACCGGTCTGTGGTTACTCCGGAACGAAATTTGTCGGAGGAGAAGACTAGGGAGATGGTGGATTCTTTGGCTTTGGACCGAAGTGGTTTATCTGTTGAGGTGTATAAGAAACTCTTGGATGGTGCCCAGAGGAGAGACCCAAATGTTTTGCAGCCTCAGATTGAATACTATGAGAAGAAGAGGGCTTCATTGCAGGCCTTACGGTCTATGAGGAAACCGTTGGAAAAACCTGTTGAGGTCAGTTTGTCAATCTTTTGCCATGATGACTGATTTTTCGGGTCTTCGGAATGCTGCACAGTAAATACTTGAACTGTCTTTCTTTCAGAGGGAGCTTGTAAATACTCGCTGAAACTTACTGCTATGCTCCTTTATGTTGTTTAAGTAGCATTTTTTTTTTTCCATTTCAGGAGATACCTCGTGAACCTTTTATACCCCTTACAAAGGAGGAAGAAACAGAAGTGAAGCGTGCACTCTTACCTAACAACAGGTACCTATTGGATCTTTTGTGTCTTTTAATATTTGGTGATCTAGGTGGTGCCCTAATTTGTCTCCAATTGATGACAGGAGGAAGCTCTTGGTTGCTCACACTAATTCAGCCATTGACATTACAGGAGAGGTATTGCAGTGCCTTTCACCAGGCGCCTGGTTAAATGATGAGGTATGATTTAAACCTTTATATTGTAGTTTGTTGCTGTGCTCTTAGGAGGCTTGTATACATTATTTCATCTTTATCTTTTGCAGGTCATCAATCTCTACCTGGAGTTGTTGAAAGAAAGGGAGAAGAGAGAGCCACAAAAGTTTCTGAAATGTCATTTCTGTAACACCTTCTTCTACAAAAAGGTTTGTTCCTTAGATCCTTGTACTCGATTAGCAGTATATGGTGGGAATGTCTTTCTACTAGGGGAGAAAGAGAAACAACATCTAGATTGCACAAAGCACTGTCTTGTTGTTAAATGATTCGGCATTTTCCGTCTTGTTTTCCCTTTGTCGGAATCATTTTGAAATCAACTGGATCTTTCTCAAGTTACTTACTAGTAGGCAGTAACAGAATCACCTAACGTCTGCTATCCACTGGCTGGTATCACTTTGCCGTATTCTTTTCCCCTTCACATTGTGCTGTCTCCACAGGTACTAGCAGTATTGTTACATAGGTTTTGGCTCCTCTATGCCTAATTAGACCCCCTTATATTTATTTCATCCATTGTTTCACGATGTTCTCTCCTTTATCAGAACCCTTTGCTTGCATTGCTTTTCCAGTTCTAGTCATTTTGGTGTGTGTTATCAGCTATCACTTATCCAGGTTTTGTTTTCTTTTGTGTCTGGAATGTGCATCATATCCAGTTGCTAGGTGGTGATAAGAAAGTATATGACTATAAGGCTGTTAAAAGGTGGACCACAGAACGAAAATTGGGATACATGCTGGTTGACTGTGAAAAAGTAAGTTGACTCAACCCTTTTTTTTCTTTGCATAATCCCTTGTTCTCGGATAGAACTTAATTACTTGTGCTTGGATTGATTTTTGCAATTGGCAGATATTTGTTCCCATTCACCGAGAAATTCACTGGTGCTTGGCCATTATTAATAGGAAGGATCGGAAATTTCAGTATCTCGATTCACTCAAAGGAAGGGACTCTCGCGTGCTGAAAAATCTGGTAGGTTAGGATAATTTGCAGCAAATTTCTTTGTTGTCTTCGCTTTGTGAGAATAGGCAGACAATTATGACCTTTGCAGGCTAGATATTATGTCGAGGAAGTGAAGGACAAGAGCAAAGTAGACATTGACTTAAGTGAATGGGAATACGAGTTCCCTGAAGACCTGCCAGAACAGCTAAACGGGTTTGTACTCGTACCTTAGAATCTCATCGGCACTTGAAAATCTGCGTGCACTTGTCATACGAGAACCCTATCTGCTGATTGCAGCAAGAAAGAACTGTTTCGGGTCTCAAAACTGGTCTAAGCTCTCTCTTTCTTTTTCATGCAACAAACAGGTATGACTGCGGAATGTTCATGATAAAATATGCCGATTTTTATAGCAGAGGCTTAGGCCTTTGTTTTTCCCAGGTAATAAAGTGACTGTCTCAGCATATTATGAACACAATCAACCCTTCTGTAGCAAAATCCAGACTTATTTCCTGTTACTTCTTCCCCAGGAAACCATGCCGTACTTCCGGCTGAGGACAGCCAAGGAGATCCTGAGACTGAAGGCCGACTAATGAAGGCAGCAAACGATCCACAGCTAATGAGAATGCCGGCGGGCAGCATCACAACTTAAAGAGAGGAGCTTTTTGTCACTAAGTGTGCAAATTGTAGGCCTTCCATACACTTTCAGGAATCAAAGGAAAGTGCCCTAGTTCCCTGCTTGTGAATAGTCTCCCTGGCCATCAACCTTGTGTAGTTACACAGATTGTCGTCGCCTGAATCGTTAGTAATGATCTAGTTCGGATTAGTATTCCGGTACAGGTTGAAATATGATTACAAACTGCTTGTGAGAAGTGGTGCTGATTGTTTTTGGCGTGCAGTACTTGATACTAGCAGTAAGCTTTTTTTGTCAATCTTTTGGGGGGCGTCCATACCATAATTATATGGACATTCCATTTGTTTTTTTTTTCTTTCGTTGTGGACTTCGAATTGTCTCTGGCAAATTTTGGAAGATCTATAATTCTTGCCCCATCTTTTCCATCTTTACTCGTAACAATTGTGCATTCTGTTGTGGTGAGTGAGTACATGATGCATTATCAAATACAATTTTGCTATGTGTTATTGTGTATATCGTGTTAACTTAAAGTTAAAGATAGAACAATCCCAATTCAACTATCTAAACAATCTCAGTTTTCACGGCATAAAGACAATCCATGCATTGCGTATTGAAAAAACACAAAAAAAAAAAAAAAAACAATACAATAATTTCATGAAAATAATCAACGCTGTAATAATGAATTGTGAATGAAATTAACGCCTCAAACATAAGAGTAAAGTCCAGTACGTCAAGAACATACACTAGATTAGAATTGAAGGTAAGATGTATTATGAACAAATGAAAACTATACTTTTAAGTAAAGTGTATCGCCTATTGAACAATTTTCTGTTTCTTTTCATTTCATTGCCTACATAAGAATTCACTGTTACTGTTTCAACCTCCTCCTTTCGTTCCCATCTTCAGTCGCCCTTCAAACATCTCAAGACTGATGAACCCACAAAAAAAACTAACTTAACAAAAAAGCCAGCAATGCATACATCCTATCCTGAATGATATACCACACCCATCCCACCAACAAAATGAACCAACACATCATTGGCGCACTGCAGACGAGCCAGATTCTGCGAGAAAGCACCACAGCGATGCTCTGCTCTCTCCTGCAGCAACATTGTTTGGATCACACGCCAAACAGGGTACTGCTTCTCTAGCGAGGAACTCGTTTGCGACTAAGGATCTCCTGCTCCTTCAGCCGATGCTGGAACCTAGCGAGGCAAGCTTGGAGGCTGACAAGGCCGGCGGCCTTACGTGAGAGAACGAAGCTCAGTTGAGTTACATAGTTGTCTATGAGGCTGCCTGGCTGGTCAACTTCGGCCAAAAGCTTCATTTCCTGGAGTATCCCAAGCAGATGAATGAGACATGAATGGAACAATAAGGTATGTGTTTGGTTTGGAAAAAATAAACTCAAAACAGAAATCGACATATTCTTCACTACTATTTCACTTAGCTTCTTTTAGCACAAAGCTGAGTGAAAAATGCACAACCTAACTCCCTAAGCAAGAAAAGGCTGCATGATGACACAGGACAGATCATCACTTACCTCACGCACGATCTCCATTGTATCCTCGATCTCTTTCCTATGTGCGGCAATTAGAGCCTCTTCTTCCTAAAAAAGGCCAAATTAAAGAAGTAAGAACGAAACGATACTTTAAGCAAAAATGCAAGTAAACTAAAATCGGGAATTCATCTGCTCACCTGGAGTATAGCATTGATACTTCCATCTGAAGATGGATCAGATTCTCGATGTCTTCGTCCAATTATTGGGAGGTTTGATGTACTACTGCTATCTTTCTTGGAATTTACAGTGGTGGGTACTACATCAGACGTACTACCGCCATCTTTCTTCCCCCAATTCGTTGACTTCTCAGTTTTCTCCTCCCTCGGGGGTCCTTTCCTACGAGGAGGTGATACCTTCTGCACTTTTTCTTCTGGTTCAGATGGGGCCTGGGAATATGACGAGTAGCTTTTTGCATTTGGTTGACCACCATAAGAATTGTTAAATTCAATTCTCTCCCGGTCAGTTAAGCTGGAAGTTGATCCACTTTCTAGTTGTCGGCTATTGAAGCTAAAACTTGAAGCGAAACTCATGGGCTGCTGCCTGTCATGATCTTTCTCTACGTGTCTTCTCCCCATATCCACTGGTTTTGCCTCTTCTCTTTGTTCAGGCATGTCGTCTATGTCTGTGGGAACAGCCAAAGTTGATGCTGGCAGCGTGTCCTTGTTAGTCGATGAATTTACAGGCTGATCCTTCTTAGTGTTGCTACTTTTGGAAAGGCTTTTGACCCTGTGAATTCAATTATTGTTAGACTATTCCGTTGAGATTATTATGCCATACTTTGCACAAGTAATAAGGAGTTTTTACTTACCTATCAGCATATCTCAGCGTATTCAACGTGTGTTCACATGAACCAGCATTCGGAGAAATACAAGAGATCATAACGGTCCTCGAGTTACCAACAAAGGAATCACGGAGTACTTCAGTTAGCTTGCTCCCACGGAATGGTATATGGATCTGTTCGTTGTCGAGTGCACGAATGCACTCTTTGAGAGCCAGAAGGCTCTTGTTAATTTCTGCACCTTCAATTCTGTAATTTAATCAAAACGATTATTATAAGTTAATCCGAATGAAAAATATTGAACACCGACGCAAGATGAAAAAATGAAGTGAAAGAAGAGGCACACTACCGTGTCTGTCTGTCATTGTCTGTGGTGTCTGCTCCTCGTTCACTACCAGCAAGATCGATAAATGAGATTTTGCCAACCAACTTTCCATTTTTTGAATCATTGACATCATTGTTGTTGTTGTTGTTCCTTCTAGTCTCTTTTACCTCTTTATGCTTCTTGATAGCAAGTTGCAATATAGCATGTGATCTTGAGGATTCCTCATTGGCACCTGTGGATCCTGTGCTTCTTGCGGCATTTCCCTTCTCAATGTATTCCTTGACTATTTGCACATCCAAAACTTCGAATTCTTGTAGACCAACAATGCAAACCTGTTGTTTGCCATCTTCTCTCATACATAGCTTCCTATTTGGCAACAAAGGAAACCAACAAGCATTATTTAAGCACTTCAAGATACATATACATTATGCAACAAAATAATATGGACATCGCCACCCTTCTCATCTAGTCACGTGATTTACAGACCATTTCCATTTTTATTCTCTCAGGCATTTAGGAGAATATGGGAATCGAATTACACCTCCCAGAAATACTCACTTTCTATCAGAAAGAAGATCAAAGAGCTTCCCTCCATAAATTTCAAAGTAGCTGAGCCACAATTTGAACCTCTGGGACCGGTAAACTGGCTGGTACAGTAATCTAACCATGTCTTGAGCAGCTCTAAGAGGCAAAGGTTGCATTGTATAAGTCTTTCCACTACCTGATAAGATCGTTATTCGTATAATGTTATATATGATGCAATTTCTGCTACAAACACCACTAGAAAAATTCTTCAGAAAACAACTCTAATATAATACACAACCTAAGCTGAACAAATCCTAAATTGAAAGAAAGCTGGTGAGCCAAGAGAAGAATCTCTTAGAATAATTACATTTCTCCTACCACCAGCTTTTATCCCATCTATGTATATATGAACCAAGTATATTATCCTAGATGAACTACAAAGATATATAAGATGCAGTTTATGTCCAATAATACATATACTGAAAAAAAACTGTACCTGTTTGGCCATATGCAAAACATGTAGCTTTTGTCTTCTCAAATATGGTGGGAATTATGGGCTCGACGGTTTCGCGATACACCTGAAGAACACATTTACTCTAGATCATACATACTAAAAGATTGATTCGATAACAAGTTTGCCAACCTATGTGCCCTCAAGCACACCATTGAGCTCTTAGTTCACAACTAACTAGCATTTTCCTAATAGCCATCAATACGGTTCTTGCAAGTTAAGTGAGACACTTGAACCAAAAACATCCACATTTAGCTCTAGGAACAGAGTCATTACCTTATCATTGTTCACATCCTCATCAAGAACAGCATCAAAACAGAATTCATGCTTCTCCACATATGCTGTCAAGTCCACCTTCAAATCAAAAGTTATTCTGGCATATGAACAGAATGCTAGGACAAAAGAATCCGAAGTGGTTTGGACAACAATTTTAAGCAGAGGGGAAAACCTTTAGTTTGGGTTCATGGACAGTCAAGGAATTGTCTTCAACGTACACAATATCATCCTCTTTCTTAGCAAGCTCCTTTCTGTTTAGTGGTCTTTTACGCACCTGCAGAATAGTGATCAGAACAATGTCATGACCTTCATAACAGAATCATAACTTATAAGCAAAGACAAATTATCAAGGACAGGAAAGATAAAAAAACATGCACCAAGTCAGTTCACATTTGGCAGAACTTGACGCCACTGAAAATGTAAGAAATGGAAAGCAAAATCAGCTAGTGAAGATGATTCTTCACATATCCTTCAAAGTCTGTACCGCACAATGAGCATGGGGAATATCATAGAGAGGCTTTAAATTCTCTTCTTCAAACTGAAGATGTTAAAGCAAATAAAAAAAAAAAAAAAACGATGCTAAACTATTAGTTCAAATTCTACATGACAAACAAAGAGGCATAACAAAACGACACAGTAATGATGGTTCGATATGTTTGTCTAGGGGTGAAAGTGCATGCACGTATGTCTAAGAAGAGACAGAGAGAATAAGAGGAGGGATATGATGAGCCAAACTCACCACAACTTTAATCTTAGCCACGTTACTTTCCCTTCCACTGTTTTCTTTTTCACTGACAGGGACTGATACTGATGGTTCTGCATCAGTTTGGTCACTTGGATATCTACGACCAGCCATTTTGAGTTCATTCTCGAATCCTCTACCAATATCAGGCAAGATGGGCGATGTGTCAAAAGGTTCTGTCATAACATGCTGCAACATAGATGAGAACAACACAGTAATTAGGAATTGGAAACAAATAGAAACAATCAGACCATTAACAAACAGGCAATAACAAAGGGTACCTCAGACAAAAGCTCAGTATCATCCATTGCATGAAGGTCCAAAAGGCCAGCTCCAAAATCACCCCTGAAGTCAGGGGAATAAAACCCATCTGATGCTGCAGCAGTTGGTGTATAAGGTTCAGAGCCAGATTCTCCATTGAAATTAAGATTTCTCATCAGCTTAAAAAGCCTCTGCTTCTCTTCAGCAGATTGAGCTCCATAACCCTTTAGCAATGGCATAGAGTATCTCAGCAATTAATCCAATATACAAGCAAGTGCAGAATAATCAAATTATCAGAAACCCAAAAAGCAGATTATTATGTTTAAAACAAATAGCGTAACAACTAGACCAAACTCCGGCTAAACTCCATACGCACAGCTCAACGATCCAATAACAAAATGAAATGTTCAATTCCTTCACCTAATCGTGAAACGCTAACTTAGCATAGAACTCGACGAAGTCATCACGTAAACAACAAATGGAACTATAAGCGACGGCTGCGGGCAAACTGAAACGAGAAGAAACCGAATCCAAATCCGAATTCAGTAAGAAACGGTTGAATGGTTGATGAAGCTACCTGCATTAGGAGATTAGGCAGCGAGCGATGATCGATGCCGGAGGAAGCCAAGGGAGATGCCAGATGCTGCAGGCCGGCCGACTGCAGCCACCTCGCCATTACAGCATCACCGGCATCGTTTGTAGCGGCTGCATTCTGCAGAGCCCCGCCGCCGCCGGCGTGATCGTAGAACGCTGTCGCCGCTGCAGCATTGGTCTGCTGCACATGGCCACCCATGTGGCGCTGCGATCGCTTTTGCGGAGCCAATTTTCAAGATCTGTTTATCGCCGCTTCGCGAACAGAAAGCCCGCAAACCAAATATGAGAAAAACCCAGAATAGAAATCACTCAAGTCAACACAAACCGAGGGAAAAAGCACTCACAAGGAGGAGAAAATTCGAATCCAAACACGAACATAGAAAGAAAATGCTTTCCCCCGGAATCGGATTCCTCTCTAGGCAAAAAAAAAAAAGAAAGCAGAGTATATTCCTGCAATCCAAACAAAACAATTACACACAAATGCGAAATTCCGATCTCAAATTCGACCTCCAGAATCCATATCGTTGCCAAGCCAAACACAATGCAGCGAAGAAACAGAGAGAGGGTAAAGTTACCAGAGCGGAAGAGATCGAGATCTGCGCCGGCGGCGATAGAGAAAACTCGGGAAGAGCGGGGCGAAATCGGAGTTGGCGATCAGATCTAGAACGCGAAGAATGATCGAATGCAAAACCCTAGGAGAATAGCTTGGCTTGGCGGACGGAAATCGCAGAAATCAAAGCAAGCAAAGGAGAAGAAAGCCAGATGGTTTTGCTGTGTTGCGCAGGAAGGAAGGAAGGAACTGCGAATTGAGAGAGGGAAATGCGATTTTTTGGGTGGGAGAGAAGGAATGTACGTTATGATTAATTTTTCGCTCTAAGTATATAATCATCCGGGTTTTAAAAAGAAATTATTACGGAGAGATTAAGTGACATAATAATAACCTGTATTTGTTTCGTCTTGGACTAAAACTTAATTAGGATAAAGACGATAAACGAAAGAAATGTGTTCGTAAAACAGTTAATTAGGATAAATCACGTATTTTAGTGGGAGAGGGCTGACTTCATTAATCATTAGGGTGTAATTTTTGTGGGGATGCAAATACTCCTGAACGCCATTGAACTTATTGCTTCGTTTGGATGATGAATGTTAAAAAATGTGGCAATTTGATTCAATAGTTTCAAAATTCGTTCATATCATTTCAAAATCTTTGTCATTTTTCTGTCAATTCAAATTGATGTAAAATGAAGTAATTTAAATTGACTCAACTCAATTGTTGCATCTTTATTATGTGTTGTCAAACGAGACAATTTGACCCAATTGCTTCATTTTAAGCTAATTGAGCAAAAATTACTTTATTTTGGGACGGTCATGCGAAATTGTATAATCAAATTACATCATCCAAACAACCCTTGTTCGAAGGGGTTTGAGATTCAGGGATTTTATGACATTTCTCGTATATTTGATTTTTCACACCTCACTTTACATAAGTGAATTATAATCTACCTCTAGATTTATTTAAGTGGAAGATTACACTATTTTCTATAATGACAATTCGGGCAATTATATACAATGAAAATAGAGTACCACCATGTGGTCTAAAGGATTCCCACCCTTTCCTCCAACTCCTCGTAATCAACTTTGACAATGTTGTCTCGTCGCCAACTTGTATAAATTGAGGATGTGTTAGTCGCGACGATGTTAATTGATATGGGGACTTACAGCTCAGGAGATAATATTTAGGGGTTAGAGATCCTAAAGTGTTAAGAAGTCGCTAACTACTTGTAATTCCTTGTGATTGGTTCTCCAGTTTTAATTTACCGCTTGTTTGCTTGATGGATTTTGTGAAGGATTTGATGATGGATTTGAGTTCAGGATGGACTTTGTTCAAAATTCATTGTTTGCTTCAAGTATTTAGAGTTACCAAATCCGTGGGACCCATAGACTTTGAGGGTCCAAATCCGGGGGGCCCACGCACTTGAAACTTCCACCTCTTAAGGTGGGAATTGATCATGGACTTTGAAGTCCATAATTTTTTACCAACCTACCCCTCATATTTTCTTTCTCTTCTTATATCATTGAGGGCAATAAAGGTAAAGTTCACGTCAACGAAATCCATGAAACAGACAATGGTCTTTTTCAAATCCATAATGAACCCAAAATCCTCATATATCCATGGTTTATCAAAATCCAGGTTATACCAAAACCTTCAATTTTTCAAATTCACGAAGCAAACAACCCCTTAGTAATGTCATCCTTGAAGATGAGTCCCTACTTTCAAGTTGTCATATATTAATTTCAAGAAAATGTTGTAACATTTCGATCATTGATAAAGGCTCGAAGGTGAAGCTATAATCATACGCTAAAAAAATAGCTACTCTACGACATATATTTATTCCACTATTATCTTCCACTAGTATCAATACCCACGGCTACGCCGTAGGAGATTCAGCCATGTTTACTCTTCATCAGCTTTCTTAATCCACACTGAAACTACCTCAAAGTAATACTTTTATACACGTGAAAATCATTATTTCAAATATTAATACAATCCATACCCAACTAATCTTATCTGAGCAACCTTCATTAGAAAAGAAAATAAGCAATCTTTAATTTGTACACAAAGAGCAGGTCCTCAGCTTACTAAATGGCCTGTTCAACAACTTGTCTTACAGTTACGCAATGTCGATGACCATTGATAATGAGCAACAAAAGCAGGTTCTCAGTGACCCTTACTGGTGAAGCTCTTGATCCGTACTAACTGAACTAACCTATCATGCTATCAGAAGAGTTTTTTTTGGAGACCACTGAGTGCAGACAAAAGAAGGCACCACCTCTAAATGGAGTAATTAGATATGCCGAACTTCAGTAATACGTGCCGAACATCACCGCGGCTACAAACCTCAGTAATGCTTTCCGGGGGAAACTCCTGCGACTATAATTTTTGCTTTTTATCATACATCTTCAGCATCCTTTTGCGTATGAACTTCGCAAAAGTAAAACCCCTAGCCAATACCTAAATGTTCTCCAAGCTGGCACCAATAAACTTCAGATAGGATATGAAAGTTCTGAAATTATCTACGGTTGGGCTATAAAGCCCAATGCAAGGACAGATTGACTGCGATTAAAAAAAAGTCGGTAAATAGTGGAAGGAAGGTTAGCTGCTTCAGAAGTTATTCTAAGAAAAAGTGTCAGGGTTCGCTAACAAAAGTATTTTTTTTTTGTTTCTTTTATTATATCAAACCATATCTCTACTGATAAAGCTCTTGAGAGCCATACCTTACAAACTCCTTGCTCTGCAACCAGCCTTCTTGCAGGCTGCAGCTAATGTAGCACCACCGCCTAGGAAGCTTGAGTGATGGAATGTGCCCTTCTTTTTCCTGAAAATTAAGTAACATCATAGTTTAACGTTAATTCCATAATATGAGTAAGCACATTTCTTAAGTCAGAATGCTTACTTCAGCAGCACACAAACTCTTAAATTTGCTCATGAAAGGTTACTTAACCAGCATACAAACTCTTAAACGTGCTCATGAAAGCTTACTTCATAAGCATGCAGTCTCTTTTGCATAGGCTGCTAGAAGGGGCTGCTTCCATTTGGCCAACTGGGTGGGTTCTGAATGCACTTGGTTCATCTCTAGGGTTCCTTGTATCCGGTACCCAATAGTATAGAGGTTCCTGTAACCCAATATCACACAATATTACACTAAATTGAACCCAACAGTGAAGGGAAACAGAAGCTGATGTAGAGGAACCCATCGAACTTGTTCACAGGCAAACTGAGGGCTTGAACGCTTACCCAGTTTGGAGAACTCGAGACAATTATGCAGAGGAAGACCAAAGCAGGGAGATTAGCTTCTCCATCTTATTGTCTTCGAGGGTTGTGACAGCCCAGGATACAACGACTTCATTGTTCTGGCACTACGTTTCTGGTGAGACTCTGTTATCTCCCTGTTGCGAAAGTGTACCCTGTTCAGAATAGCACAAAGAAAAACTAAAAACAAAGCACTTCCTTAGGAGCCATCAAGAAGTAATAAGGAAGAATTGAAGCCTCACGGCTGCTTTCGTGGAGTGCTCAGACGCCGTACTCGGGGCTAGGCAGTGGAGCCACTATGGTATGCTACCTGATGCCACATGCTTGTACATATACTATTGTATTTTCAAATGTTCTCAAACCTGCGAAGAAGAAGAAAGAAAAAAATGAAACAGCTTCTTTTAACTGGGTTTGGGACATTTCTGGTTTGTGTATATGAAGGAAGGAGGAAACAATACCATTTCTCTGAGCATGAGAGCAAAAGTTTTGGCATAAAATCTTGAATCTTTGACTTCAGCCATAATTCCTCCAGTGTTTGAGAGATGTCTGTTCTTGCTTGTAGTTCATCCTTGTTAATGGGCCGCTCTAGTACTTTGTACATCACTTCAGGAACATAATTGTGCACAGTATAAGCCAAGCCAATTCCATAATCAGTTAGATTGCATCATTTAATGGAAAGGGAAACAGAACAAATAGCAAGTTCACATTAAAAGGTTGAGGAGATTACAGACTGCTTCATCCTTCTTCCTAGTAACCTTGGCCCTATTCTTTCCCCAAAAAACCTGTGGTGTAAGAAAACCCAAAAAATAAGTGAACAACTACATAAAGAATGGGCCAAATAGCAGCTAGTAGCAGTAGAATTGCAGCACAAAAGCACGATAATACAGCAGCAACATAAATTTCCCAAGTTTCAACTTTAATTTCACACATAAACCAATCAACAATCGGGGTAGGTCACAAACAACTTTCAGACACTTAACCAACAGCAAGTAGACATAAGAATCAAACAACAGTTGTGGGGGAAAAGAAAAGAGGAAGTAAATAGCATTCCAGGGCTGTTATTTTGATCACCTCTCATGTTGGTCCTCTTCTAAATCCTGCAGCTACTGTAAGAAACCTAAACAAAGAAATTAACAATGTATAAGCAGCTTCTTGAAATATTAAAGAAAAATCAAAGACTGCAGGAACCTTAGAGATCAGCTCTAAGAACTTTCTACACCCATGAAAAAAATAGTGTTAGTAAAAGAAAAACAGAAAGGTCTACAACACCTTATCACCTTATACCTGTTGCTGCTTTCAATTCTGAAGCAGTTTATAGTTCAAATTTGGTTGATCATCGAATCTTAGAACCTTTCTGTTAGCTCGTCTCCCAAACCACCAACATCCTTGCAGCAGAAATGGAACAATACCCCCAAATTAAAGTCCACTGACAGACAGAGCAACACTTGAGAACATACAGAAACTAAATGAGCTGATACCTTTAGTTTTAGAAAAAAACCATAGAGAAGAACCTCTCAATCAGAACCACCAAATCCCGAAATCAGGGTGAGACACTCCTTCCAACAGCCACCCAATCCTGAAAGCACAATAAATCAAAAAATAAGTCAGTGCAGCACCAAACCGAAGAAAAGGACTCCGTTCAGTTGGGCCGACAGTTGCCTGGGTGCAATTCCCTGCACAACACCCGATAGAAAAGGAAGTGCGGAAAAGGGATAGGGGAAATCGTGGTGCAGAAGGAAGTAAAGTGGATGGAACTCACCAATTCGTCAGTCGCTATTGAGTGCTCGTAGAATCCGTCCGGGCGGTCGGGGTTTCCAGCCATCCATGTATGGAGGAGGCGCAATTTGAGGACAGGAGCTTTTTCCGTATACGCGAGCTTGGAAACGACGATATGATTCAAGAGGGCCATGGAAGCAAAACAGCGAATGGTGGAAAGAGGTTGGGGTGAAGAACTGGACAGTGAATGGGGTGGATACGAAAATGGAATAGGAAGCAGGAATGAGTCGTGAGAGGAAAAGCAGTGAAAGCTATCAGCCTCGCCGGCCCCCAAGGAGCTGAGCAAGGCTATTAGAGCACGATTCATGGTGCTGGCGTGTCTGGAAGAGGGTTTGTCAGCGGTGCCGTGTGTCAGCGACAACGACGACCCGGGAACACGGAAAAGGTGAGGGAGATGATGAAGAGGAGAGGTGCAGCTGCAATTCTGCGAGTACGATCGGCATGGGCGTCTGCTGGAGAGAGGGAAGTTAGGGTCAAGTCGTGGCGGCCAAGGTTTCGGTTTGGGAGAAGTTGTTTGGCGAAGCCCTTAAACCCACAGTCGCTAAACGACACAAAGTGAAACAGTAGAAGAATAAAGCGTACCCACCTTTTATATATAGAAGAATTATGTGAACGATTATACGAATAGAGCTGCCGCCCTAGGAACATATTTGTACTCATTCAAACAAAGTCCATTTGCATTCTTGAGATCATGTTTTTTGGGGGATCTCAATTTAACCTAACCAGCATTTCTTGCCGCGTCGCATCCGGCGTTTTGTTGTGGTATGGTAGGGCGGCAATTTTTGTAGGGAACAAAATTTGAGAGTGATTTTGAATTATAATACAAAATTATTGAACAAACACATAATCGCAAACGGCCAAAAATCTATAAATATTGAAAACGACTATGCCAAACTCCTTGCTCCTATAACCTCAAGCAAAACGCTTTTTCGTCAAGATTATCAAACCGGGCCACTAGAATTGCCAAGCATGACATTCATCGGCCCTTCAAACGACTCAGTCGAAAAGCCCGGATGAGCAGTGTACCAAAATTGAATTAGTCAGACAAACCTCCATATTGTTATCACCTGTTAATCACGTCGAACTGCTCACCCTTCTGGCTACTTTTTTCTCTCTCTGGTAGATGCCCACAGAGCGTGTATTGTAAACTATAGAATCCCTGAATTGAAAGGTGGTGTTGGATTTGTGTGCAACGTGGGAATTGGAAATCCCTAAAAAGGTGGGTGGAAAAATTAGGCGCTGATATTTCCTTTCAAGAATCAGCAGATTTGGTCCTCCTCCCCACGCTCCGTTGCTTTGATATATGAGGAGTCGCTGTCCTCCCCGCGGAAAGAATCATCTAAGGGTGCGTTTAGATACAATGATTTGGATTTGGTATTTGTGATTTGGATTTCCAAATACCAAATCATGTGTTTGGATATTAATTACATTTGGTATTTGGATTTGTGTCAAATTCATGGGGTGATTTCCAAATACATGTCTAGTGTATTTTTTGTCAACTTCAAATACATTTCAACAACTAGTGATTTGAAATACCTCATAACAAAAGAATGGACCTATTTGTAAAATATGAAAAGTTTAGGTACTATAGTGTGAGACAAAACATATAAAGGTACCAAAATGTAATTTTACCATCAAAATTTCAGGACCTTTTTGTAAAATTTTAAAAGTTTAGGTACTAAATTGTAAGAAAAAATAATTTTGGGTACCAAACTGTAAATTACCAAAATTTGTAGTAAGTGACCAGAAAATTAAAAATTGAAATTGAAAATCATAAAATACAAAATACAAACAAATTACAAATGAGTATCCAAACAATGAATTTGAATTACATGTATTTCAAATGCTAATATTTCGAATACATCCATTTCAAATGCTAATATTTCAAATACCTTACATTTAAAATCCACTTATCCAAACGCACCCTAACTGGTAAACGGGTGAAAGTTGGATCATAGGCAGATCATGGTTCATCGCGAATCGGGTGACAGATCATGGGAAATCGTGAAAATGTGAAGGAAAAATTGTCGATTTTTTTTGCAAATTGACCAAATCAGTGTCAACCAATCAGGTCGTGCGATTTGTAACGAGACGGTATGGATATGGATGGTTTCAAATTACAAACTGATTGGTGTTATGGTCCGTCGTTTTTTAGAACTTAGATCGAGTTGTTTGGAAGGATATAGATGAATAAAGAAGAATAGGTAAGTAGAAATGACGTGAACTAATGCTAGGTTTCATGACAAGTTACTTAATAATGGTATAATATGTATTTGTATTATACATTCTTATCAAACATGTCATTTTACTATTTTTTTTTTTTACATCAAACATGTTCTTATATTTTAGAAAAATTATTTTTTCGGTTAAAATTTCCATGCATAAACTGTCGACCTCAGACGAATCTTAGTTTGGGTGATACATATCCGATATCCCTACTTATATATGTATAAGAGCATATTATACATATATCCGATATCCCTACTTATTATGTTAATGTTCTAGCTGGGCGGTCCTTGCCTTGTTATGATCATAATAATATAAACACAATGGGGAGAATTGAGGCGGAAATCATGATATTGCAGTAGTGGTGGTAGAGATCTCCAATTCATGGCTAACCAATCATATCTTGGAATACACTTCTTTTTCTCTTCTTCTTGGATTGAAGTTTTTGCTTTAAGTTAAAGTTCTGTGTTTTGAGTTTTGGAAGATTGAGAGATCCAGCCCTTAGTTGAATGACAGTAGTAGGTTTGTTTGGAAAGATATATATATTTTAATTGAAGGTTTAATCATTTCTTCAAATGTGAAATTATTACATAGTTACATAACTACAAAATTTGAAAAGTTATTTACCTGTAGATCCATTGAATCCAAGTTACAATGCAAGTTAGGTAGTAATGTATATGCACAATTTATCTCCCTCATATTCATGTCTCGGTCAAGTTTTCATTCGTAATACAAAATTTTGGCGGTATCATTTCAACATAATTCCCAGCTGCACCTCTTGTTATACCACAAGTTTTAGAGAGCATCCGAATCATTGCTGTTTCGACCTTGTCGACTGGTGATCTAAAGAAGCAAACCATAATGCAACGATAACATCAACACGAAACTAAATTATGTGTCACACCGAACAATAAATATCCTCAATAGCTATCGAACACGAGTCGCACATAACGAAATACTGCTATAACAAAAGCAGAGTCTACGAGTACAGAAAGGGCGAAAAGAAGACGGGGGACAACCAACCAAAAATAAAACTACAGCGAATGAAGTGTGTTTAACTTCATCCCGCCGCTACTCATCTCTCTCTTTCTAGCACTTGATCTCCTTCAAGGCATGGGGGAGGTACAAAAATGTAGGGTCAGCAGCACCATCCTTGTAGTACGCAAACACCAAGGTGGCATCGTCCTTCATGCTCTCCCCGACGAAACTGCAGTCGATCAAACCCAAGTTTGTTAACAAACGTGTAATGACAAGGTACGACGATGAAGCCTGCTTAAAGAAGAACGGGGATGTGTACAGTGGGCTTACAATTGGAGGTCACTGAGCTTAGAGAGGAGGAACTTAGTTGCTGGCTCAATGGTTTTCTTAAACTTCGCCTGTGCCTCCCCTTCCAAGAGAGGGGTCAAGACCTTGATGTACCTCTTCATGTAGGTAACAAACTGCTTCTTGTCAAAAGCAGGTTGCTCCTGCAAACATCATACACACAGATGGTTCAGATTCCAATTCACGACGGCTAAGGGTTCCAAACCGTTTCAGATAGGAGAAAGAGCCCCCACCTGAAGTCTAAAGGTGTCGACAATATCGACAACCTTAACAGCCTGGTCATCGACACCCTCATCGTCACCACCTCCTTCAGCAGAAGGGTTCGCACCAATGTCGACATCGACTGCGCCTTGAATAACCCACTATGAACCAGAAAGAAAGAACCAAACTTGGTCAAATTATTAGACCATTCAACGCATCAGGTACCAAGCCCCATCACGGCACGCCAAAACTGAGAATAAACAAATACCAACCTTTCCATCAACTTCCCACAAAGCTCCATCCAAAAACTCTTTGTATGGGAATGAGTCAGAGAGAAGCTCATCACCTGTACAACACAAAACAACATTAGTATTAACATCACACCGATTCGAAAGCTACAGAACATAACTGACTCATCCAAGCAACAACTACACATCAGAGCTGGGACTACAACTATATACACGAATCAATTTGGACATCGAAACCCAAAATCAGATAAAAACAAAGTAAGCAGATAGCTAGATAAGAAGAAACGGATAACAAATAAAGTCAGTTGCGGCCGCCGATCTCTAATCGTAGATCTAGGGTGCGAGATTTCAGTCCAAACAAACTAATTCGAACAAGGTGGATCGAGATACTGAAATTCACAAACAAACAAGAAAAAACCCTAAAATTCGGAAAGCAAAAAACCCCGATTGAAAACAAAATTGTAGCTGCCCATTGAAAGCAAAAATCTGATGATTGTAGGAGTAGATGCTTACCGGTTACGAGATCTTGATAAACCAACATGGTTACTGCTCCAGAGGCTTCGCTCTTGGGATTTCGGGAGGATGGGAAACGGAAGGAGCAGAAGCTGAGCAGAAAACACAGAGCGAGAGAGGGTTTGTAATCTCGCAGAACCGAAGGTTATATAAAGCGAAGGGTTTTACCCTTTTGCGGCAGGAGTTGTTGGAAAACTACTATATAAGTCCTTTTTCTTTTCGGAAATAACCAGCGAGTCCTTGTCCATGTTGAACTCGAAAGCAAGTTGGGAGCAGCACGTGCGCACTAGGGAATTTACCACGGTAGAAATTGAATTGTTTGACCACGAGAGAAAGAGAGGCATTTGACTATTCGAGTCTTCGCGATTCTCGCAAGTTGCAACACGACGCCGCATGATGAGACAAGTAGATTGCAGACGATCCATCGTTTGAATGATTGATCACTGAAATTCGCGCAAAAATTCAGGTCTTATCAAAGGCGCAAAATGTCGAGCGTACTGCACTATCCATCGTTTGAATGATTGATCACTGAAATTCGCGCAAAAATTCAGGTCTTATCATAGGTGCAAAATGTCGAGCGTACTGCATTTGCTTTCGAATGAACAACCAAACAATGAAATGTTCGTCGCACGACCAAACGGCATGTTCATGACATTTCGATAGACGAAACCGATCTGGTTCACCATCTCGAACAGAGGTTTCAAATTTTGAAGCAATGCACCTTTTCCCCATATATATATAACTGAGAACAGGGGCGTAGAAGTACACAATTATTTCCCCCATCTCAGTTTCTTCCAAATGATACATTACAGGGACCAAACAAAAGAAAGAAGAATTGATCAATTACAGAAAGGAAGAAAGACGGACCAAAAAGGGAAGATTTTTTTTCTTCAACTCCCCCTTTTCTTTCACATATTCAAACGTACAATCTGCGATTACCAAGTTACGTGGGTATGAGGGCCAGTATTTGGTTCCGTATGATACCCATGCATTTCTGTATATCGGCATAAACCGGAAGGTTCTGCGAACACGACGGCTTCAGATTCGCTACTGCGGAATCGAGTACCTGAGCAATGTCGCTCGGTGGAAACTGACGCTCCGTACATTTCTGGAGATGAGCACATGGTTGTTTAGTATGAGGTTCTGGTAATATGGAAACGTGGAGGGAGAGAAAAGGAATGTCGTCTGTACCTGGATCATGAGCAGGGTGGCTACGGATTGTGCTATTAGCTCCGACGGAATCTGTGATTCGTTCAGGTCAGTCGTGTTGTTCGACGACTTGGCATCCAACGTGTGGTTGGCCACTGCATTGAGAGTCGACTGATCTTGGGATCCGGTAGCATCCTGAACTGAAATCACTGGGTTAGGTGGTGCAGCTAACTGTGTGGTTAACTCATTGGAGGAGATCTGGCTGTTGACAAAATCAATGGCTTCCTCGATGCTCTCAATGTCGCTTTCTTGCTTGTTCAGAGATGTCACGGCCTGAGACAGGGAAAATAATTTTAGCGGAAGCTAGTGAATTCCTAGACATCGGTTGGTGTCTTTGCTTGATCTAAATATAATGTATCGTATCTAAATTCTCTCTTTTGTATGAATTTGAAGGACCAAGTACTCATTTTACCGTCATTACTTCCTATTCATTGAGCCAAATGGGCTCGAAGAATTATACTACAGGGAAAGGAGTAGTACCTGCATTGCTGCATCGACCATTATTTGGGCTTTTGACCTTGAAGTTTCAACAATTTCAGCTACATGAGCCCCAGAATCTTGGACCTCCTCAACAGGGTGATTGGACGAGCTGTAGTACAGAACCGGCTCACCAACGGTTATGGCTGGAATAGCTACTTGATACGTGTTTCGCTGTCGTAAGCTAAAGAGTGCAGAAGAAAGCTGCATGGAAAATGAAGGACAGAGAATTTGAGACCGTGTTCCAGGGTATTATACGGCGGAAATGAACTGCGGATATGAAGATGTTGGAGCATTAGTTATTTGCCTGGTCGTTGATTTCATTCAACTGTAGCAATACTGCAGCATAGTGCTTCTTGAAAGATTCTGAATCTCTGAGATTGCTGCTTTGGTTTTCTAGCACGTCCTCGTTCATGCGCTTCAATTCGGATACCACAGCATCCTGCAAATGAAAAGACAAAAACTCATCAGCTTCTAATGAAGGTACTAAACCAAGAATCTAATATTAGGAACGTGCTTCATGATGAATGGCTGATTACAAGTAGAGATGGGTGCTGTCCAGTCTGGTCCAGAATTGAACCAACCAGTATAGTGTCGGATTGAATATATGCAAAACATGACAACTATAATCAGATCGAAGAGGTCTTATTTGGTCTGGTACATTTTTCATGGTTTCTACAAGGATCCATGGAACCCAAACTAAAGATGTCTTGAATTTGAGAATTGAAACCAGATCACATATACTTTGATCCGCTCCATTTCAATCCAAATATTGGTTAGGCCCAGATATCATTGCCCAAGCCTAACTATAAGTCACTCTAGATAACGTGATATACAGATTGATCATTATAAAGGAGTGCTAAATTCTGATATTATACCAGGAAGTATAACTACGCAAAAGTTACTGAAGAAAAAAAGAACAAAAACATGCAAAGGATACGTAATTATATGAGTGTTGGTTATCAACTTGTACAAAAAATCTCTAGGTGAAGAGATTAGCTGGAAAGGAACACTGACCTTCTTTTCAAGAGCGCGGCTTAATTCTGATAGCGCTTGAATATCGGCTTCCTTTGCTTGTATGTGTGCATGAATAGAAGGCTGAGCGATTGCCGCTTGTTGGCGATTAATGGCTTCACAAAATCCAGTGGTAACCGGTGTAGCCAGACCTAGAGGAATCCCCTGGTCAAAATAACTTACCATCATAATATAATCCGTGTACATAAATATTCATGGTAGTTGAAACACGAGGTCGTCTAATTCATATAGATTTTCAAATAAGAAATCAGCACAGGCAACAAGCATGCAGTTAACTGTCGAGAAAAAAACCCGCCATAGACTACCAGGTTGACTAGTTTCTAACCTGTGAAGGCTGCGTGACATGATAATTTGGTGGAGGAATATGAGGGAAACCATTGGCGTTTTCCAGGCTCTCTGGATGGATTACCTTTGCATGCCCTTCCATTGTTTTCTCGGTCAGTGACCCGTTTGTTTTATAGTCATTCAAGTTCTCTATAAACTTGTTCAGAGCAAGACCATGTCGGGTAAGAGAAGCAGGCAGATTCTCTGATGGGTTTAATGGCATGCAATCAACGTCCTGCAGTAGCATAAATCATAGCAGCAGAAAAGCTAAAATGATCAATACTGCTTTAATACTTTGCAATAAAAAAACAAGCGAAAAATTCTAACGTGCCTTTCCAAATTCTGAATACAACAAGGAAATTACCATGACAAATTCCACCCCAAGCTCGGGTTGAGCAAATTGAACGCAGCACCTATTATGATCAACAGTTAGCACATTCCCATCATGGATTTCTCTTGTCCTCGGATGAAGTGCAACAACACGCTGCCCAACTGATAAAGGTTTAGCCAGATCTGTTGGAAGTCCTTCCCTAGTACCCGCACGAAGTTCACTGTAATGTTTCCTAACTGATTCCCGGTATTGATTAAGCTTCTCTTTCTCTTCTTTCAAAAATTGCACAGAGAATCTCCTTGGTTTACCAAGAGAACTGCATTAAGAAACACCAAATAAAGTGATGTACAACCCAGAATTCTATGGAACAGTGAAAAACACAGGGTGAAATAAAATAATGAATGGTAAGAACAAATTCAAAAGACTTTGTACCTCCTTATGACGCCCCACTCTACACGAGTTAATCTTGGGATATGACCCAAACCAACATGATCTAGGTATTCCACAAACTCCCTTTTAGCAAACCAAGGGTAATCGATAGCGCTATAGAACCACTCAAAGACGCACCAACGCCTTAGTTCATACCGAGAAAGACAGTTTCTAAGATTCTTCTGCAAAGATAAAATACCAGGACATAAAGTTTAGTAAAGAGCATATAGGAACAATAGCTTCATAGGCAACACATGCAGTCGTTGGATGTAAAACCTTAAGAATGAGAGCTTGGTCCTGGAATGAAGGGATGGAAACTTTGGGTTGACCATTTTTAAGGCCATCGTGAGTCTCTCTATCTTTCTCAAGCAGTGGTTTGGGTGCACTTATTTTACGCCGACTCCGTACTCTGGTAGGAAGACTGAACTGGTTTGAAGGTGTGGCTTGGGCTGTTGAGGGACCTGAATCATTTGAGTCTCTTCCAGGATCAGCGCTCGAAGAAGTACGTTCTAGTGGTTTTGTTGATCTCTTTTGTTTGACAGATGGAGCATCATGAGAAGATTTGACTTCATCGACGTAGGTATTCGTATCACGAACAACCTAAAGAGCAGGGACATAGAAAAATCCTTAACAAGAGAGCTCGGGGACTAAAATGCCCAAAGGAACTGTCTGAAAAAAGCACTGCTGGGTTATAGTAAAAATGAATTGTATAACACAGTAGACAAGGGCCAGAGCTAACTAACTTGATAAACTAGGAAAGAACAAGGTAAAAGACCTTCAACACGAGCACCTAGCTGCTCCGCAACAAGTTTTTTTTTTTTACACGTTGGAGGGTGAACTTACTAATTTGCAGAGTGTCCGCTTCCAAGTAAATTATCAACTACTAGAAAACCATTGAAATCTTAAATCCGAGAGAAGCAACCTCTACAGTGTACCAATAAATTTCATAAGAGAGACTCAGAGATGGAAAGCAACACAAGATATGTAAGTTGAGAAAGGTAAATGGATCATCATGGTGAGTCCAACACTTCATATTAGAAAATGTTGACTTTTGTTATGTCACAAACCAACCAATAGAACATCAGTCATAAAGTTGTAAGATAAAAAAGAATTGCTTACCTCAATCTTCTGTGATTCACCCAAGCAAGGACCCAGGTGCTTTTCA